CTTTTGATTGATGAAGTAGTTTTCCCTAAATCTACTTCCTGTTATAGTGGCCACCTCCATTATACACCTTTGTGGTATGTTTTCCCCACCTTGCATACCATTTTATTCCATTACAGTGAAACCATTGATACTTGAACGATGCCCATAAAGGCCCTTGTAACAAATTATCATGATATATTAATATCCCCGTCCATCCCTTGTTTGTGAGTTTCTCTTTTTTTTGTTTGTCATGCTGGACATGATGAGCATTTGAGAGATAGCTTGGGTACGCGCACACCCATACGAAGCAATGAACGTCCCTGTAAATGTTACCTAAAGTCCAAGTACGTCACAGACTGTGTCCAATAATATCAGTCATAAAATGTGATATATTCCACACTGTATCCAAATCTCCAATAGTCCATGATGTCAATACCCCTGGCATCAATTATATCTTATTCTGTTGTCTCTCCACCAACAGAACATGGCACATGTCCTAACCACAGTGCGTACACCAGACCGACCCGATAAGTTGAGTATTCAGGTGCTCTTATTAAGATAATAAATATAATGTATATCCCAGTAAGTAAGATCTCATACTAGCCCACATGAGATCTTTGTAAATAGTCAAGGGGCCGATGATACGAAATTCAGGTGTGTTATTGCCTATAAGTTTAGGTAGTATTGTCTATATGATTAGGCAGTGTTCTCCACTGTTTGGTTTGAAAATAGGGGTTAAAGTAAGTGTATTGGCAAAGAGTCATGTACATATAAGTAAGGCCAAGTGGTCTTATAAGGTCCCTTCAGATAGCGAGGCAGTTACGGCCATAACTGTCGCCAGTGGTAGTCAGTTACCCACCCACGGAAAATTGATTATTAAATATCTGTTGAGTAGGGGGTTAATTTCCAACAGTCTATGTATGTTGCTGAAATTCAATTTCCATGCATTCTGGGTCGCGACTTCCTGAAAAGTCATGAGACTGTGGTTGATGTGAAAGCTAGCTTGTTGTCTTTAAAGAAAAGACCAGCATACTTCGTTAAAGCATTGTTATTGCCCCCGCCTGGGTTGAATGTCCTGAAACAGTGGAAATCCAAGTTCGCCCCAAGTATTGAATGTATTGCTGTAGCCCTTTTGTAAATAACAAATCCGTCAGATTCCATTGTCTCTCTACAAATCAGCAATTTCAACGATGTAGAAAGGATACTTTTCCCAAAACTTTTGCTGCCTTGGGTAAAGAATTCAAAGTAGTGATTAAGGTACAGCCAGCTGGAGACTGGTTAGAATAGCCCCTTAGACAGTGTACATAATGTAAATATTATATTCTTATAGAATATAAATAGTCCCGGAACAGTCAGACATTGTTCTTATTGAATTAACAAGGTGGATGTTGTTCAAGTAGACCAACTACAGACAAGTAGTGTTTTAATAAAGACTGAATTAGTGCTTGATAGTCCCAAGCTGTCCCATTATTCCATATAGTTCCAAAAGATGGAGCCATTGGTCCCGCGGTGAACGAATTCAAATAGAATTCAAATTGGAAGGTTTTTATGAAACTTGAATACATATTGTTTCTATGAAACCGTATGTCATTATTAGTCCAAAAGTCCAAGTTAGACCCGATAAGAATGGATGTCCCATAGGAAAATCCCAATGTCCTGAGATACCTGGAAACGAATGCTATTGTATTTATTTCAATGTTACGAATTATCCAAGATTGATGACCTGTTAAGGTATCCTAATCCCCGTAGAAATGAGTTGATCATTCAAATTGCCCCTGTAGATGAGGAGATGTGTCCCATGTCCCTTATTTGTGAGAATATGAAAAATTGACTTATGTACCGATGGTGTGACCCTGGCCCGTTATTGGTTTACTTTCTGGTGTATTGCTATTTCACGATAGGATGTCTGTGTAGCAATGTTTCAGGGATGCAGAACAGAAGATGTCAACTTAACCAGATGCAAGCTGAAGATTCAACACAATTTACAGACCTGTCAACCTCTCATATATTTTTTACGGGAATCTACCGACCATTAAAGAACACTGAGAAATAATCTCAAATGCATGAAGTTTGAACATTTGGTGCATTGACAAGATTGATGTCAGATAATAAACTGCAGTGAATGAACTGTTGAACTTTGATATTGCAGCTCCAGAGAAGAATGTAGCGATATATGATAGAATAATGACAGTGTGAAATTACTATAATTTTAGGTGCTGACATTACATGTTTATCAAATTAAGGACTTCCATTTTTTTTATTTTTAAAGCGTGTTCGGGTCGAACACTTATTAAAGAGGGAAGCTGTGTAACAACCCACCAAATTCAGATACACTTATAGCATAATTTCTCTTATTATTTGGTGTGCTGTTACTGTATTTATCTCTATATTTAATCAGATTTTAACTTTAATCGTTTATAAGTTGTACGTTTATATGCATTCAGCTGATATTCACTCTCAAGAAGAATGCCAATCTCCAAATACATACTTTTCAGTGATGGCGTATTAATATTTAACTGCAAATAGTGCAGAATATAGCCCCAAGACTTGATCCAGTAATTAGCATTAATTATAAGCAATTTACTTTAATTACAGCTTCTTAAACATGTTTATTTATGTTCATCATATTTTGATATCAGTATTAGGTATGAAATACTTTTGTTTGTTAAGTTAGTATTCGGCGTAAGGTTTTCCTCAGTTGAGAAGTTTGGTTTGTGTTCTGTTTAGATTTTAACTGTAAGGATGCCAATGGATATATCTCCTACGTTTCGATCGATTTTGCAGTATTCCGACTCTATTGGTGTTAGGTAAATATATATTTGTATTAATCAAATGATGATCAACAAATTGATATATGTTTTATGACATTCTGTTACGAGATTTGACAGTGAAAGTTACCTTGAAATGTATATAATGCTCCGGCCCAAAAGTTGCCCAGGATCCCCTTTACATCTACTCTAGTCCCAGGACCATGTATCCTATTAGAGAGATGTATTTCCCCTTCCCAAAGTACCCCACAGTCCAGCTTTCCCAGTCTCTGGAAATTCCGGCAGTCATATTGCAAATTTCCGGGCAAATTTCCAACCATGTAGCTCGTGTTAGTCACGTGCTAGTCACTTGATAGTCACTTGTTAGTCACTTTCTAGTCACTTGCTAGTCACTTGTTAGCTCGTGTTAGTCACTTGTTATAATTCGTGCTAGTCATTGTTAGTCCATGTTAGTCACTTTATATACAGAAACTTCTCCCAGAACACAGTTTGATTATTCATAACTAATTTTTACTGTACTGTTGTCATTGTTATCTTTAATATCTTAAAAATATATACACCTGTAAATATGTTTCTTTAAAACTTTTGTCGTGTTATATTTCTTAAGGTGATATTATTCCCCCCTTCATGAGACAATTCCAAGTATAATCAAGATGTAGAGATTTTTGCCAGAGCGCCATCTTTCTTTCGACATAAAAGTTTATTTCCTATAAGACTCATTGTAAAGACGATGTTTTACACCCTCCATAATTAACTTAGAATAAAGCTCATAATTTTAACCAATAACATCTCCCTCTCTTTTAACCACGCTACCACAATGAGTTGAGGGAATGTTACAATATAACTTTTGAAAAGCCCGCGCCCGCTAACTTTCTGATTGGTCAAGCGCTGCGACTACATATAGTATATAGGTATACATATATACATTCGGCCCAGGTCAAATTGACTCGTAGTCGTACATTCGTAAGATACAAACATGGGAATAAATCATCATTTCCGAACCATTGCTAGACAATTAGATAAGTTAACGGTACTCTCCAGGCCTGTCAACTGTCCCGCAATTTGCGTATTTGTCACGCATTTGCTGAAGAATTTGAAGTCACGCAAGTTATTTTTCTGTAGAAAAATTTCTAAAAAAGTTCGTCTACACAGCAAAAATACGAACGCCGAAAAAAAACGTACGCATTTCGTTCGGACTTTTCACGCGAATTACGTATATGTCACGCATTCCGTTCGAAATTTTTCGTACCTACCCCCTAATTTATCTATTACAGTGTAATTATCATGATAGATACATGATAGAGGCTTTATGAATGATAAACAATGGAAACATGAATGAAGATAACTCTGGACTAAAAAATAGTTCCAAAAATGGTGGACATGAAATATTTAGAATTCACAATGGTTTGAGCTTTATTATACTCTAACAATGCAAGAAGTACACATTTTCGTGCTCCTTCGTTGTTCCTTGGTAAGGTAAGATGATTTATGGAAATTTTAGACTCTTGCAAATGTGTGACTGTTGCAAGGCTACTCCTTGAAACTTTCAAAAATTAGCCTCACTTCGCACTCTTCATGCTAGCTTTGGGGATCCATGCACCTCCAATTCATAGTTTGGAAAAATGCGTTTATGTGTGATGTTAACTTTGACATGTTTCATTAGTCAAGATACACAATTCATATACAAGGTAAACAGATTTTAAAAACATGTGTCTTTATCAAAAAAATATGGCAGTCATTTTTTGTACTTTTTATTTAATATAGCGTCGCCTTAACATTGAAAAATTTAAAAAATGCATAGGCCCTCGGTTCTCAGTGATCGATGTCCCTCCCAAGGTCGGGTCATATATCACTGAAACCCTTGGGCATATATGCAACGATAGTGACATAACCTCTAAATAATTCATTTTATGTCTCTGATAAATATTAGAATATAGCGTTCTTCCCGAATAGCCCACTCCCGGGAGCCCACTTTTCTCTATTTGCACTAAACGAAATAAATTAGTATAAGTACCCAAATTCTTAAATTCTTGTCTATGTCTAATTCTTGTGAAAGTCAAAATCAATTAACCATCATGCATCAAATGTTGACTATTGTCAATTAATAAAAATAATCAATATCTTATTCTACCACCAAATTACCATTATGGCCGTGTTAACTGAAATAGAAAGCCTATATTGGGTGTCAGAGCGTTAATTAATAATTTTGTTTTGTTCGGATTCTCCCAGGATGCATTGCAATATTTTCTGGTGACCCAGGTGACTAACAATCTAAAATAAAATTCGACGTTGATATTTAGCTTATAAAATCAATTCTTTTCATTCTACCAAAACTTAACATACATAGTCGTTATCAAGAGTAACGTATCCACGTCTTGGATATGGCAATGTGGACTTTGGTTGGATTCTATGACTGTTAAAAGCAATAAGTTAGGTGAGAAATTTTTACAGCAATTCCGGCAATTTTTATATTTTATTAGAATTATTAATAGATTTTTAATCTTCTCTATGATGCCAGGTTCAAAGATTTTGGGAAGTTTACATTATACAGTGAGTGGGGGGGGTTAAATCTTCTTCCTGGGCCTGTGCTCATTCGACCCTGGGCATTCGACTTAGTATTTTACCATGGGCTAGTTGAAGGCCCATGATTTTACCAACCATGCAATAGTCTGACTACATTGGTAGCATTAATGACTAGATTCTAGATCTAGTTCTAAATTGTTCCGATCATGGCTCCTCGGCAGTCAGAAAAAGTTAATTCCAATTAGTTACAAGTATTCACCTTTCCCAAAGTTCAAAGTGTACTCATTTGACCGCTGCACTGATTGGTCGATGAAAATCAATGACGTCAAAGCAGGGCACATTTCGTGCCAAAATTCAATTACTATTAGATCGCCGAATGAGTGAAATAGATCTCATTATAAAATGATAAAAAAAGTTAAGTGAAATATAAAAATGCCTTTAGCTGTGTCTTAAATACACCATCTGGTAAATCAAACCATAGAAATAATTGTCATACGAGTGCTTTTAACAAAGTGAATCCAATTACGCAAACCAAAGATTGACAATCATTCAAACAATAAGACTGTATGGATTAGGAATATACATTTATCATGATTATTCAATTAAATAGTTCATTATGTTTCTAATAAAAAATATATGAAGAACAGTTTTAAATGTTAGAGTCCACTTGCATTTTTCTCATCGGATTGCCCAAATAATTTGCGATTGGTCATGTATTTTTGCAATTTATATATTGAAGTAACTAATATTCATCATACTGTAGTAGTTTGCATTTTAATTGCAATTCTAAGCTTAATTACAGGCCCGTAGCTAAGGGGGGGGGGTGTGAGGTCTGAGCACTTCGCATGATTTTTTGCCAAAACTGTCAAAAAGCTCCCCTAGGTAAATCCTGACTACAGGCTTGAATTGCTGGAGTTTCTCTCTTGTAGGTCTATGTCCAAAAAAGCCCTGAAAGTTCGATATTTAAAAGAACGCCCATGGGCTTTTCAAGAGATTAATCTCTTCAAATTGATGATCGTGGGTAAAACAAGCAACTCTGGTACATAGTCTCAAAGCATACATAAAAGGCCTTAACATTGTTCAATGAAATGAGTCATCACTCACGTAACCATTGTCAAATTCTTTGGCAGACATAAAAGTAACATTGTCATGTGGTATAATAGGTGGCTGAATGTAAGTGAAAGTAACGCACCATTGGCCCAGATTTGAGAGTCAAATACTTTTTCTTCAAGGTTAAGCCATACCCCCTTCTTCACCCCATGAGAAAATATTACACGAACTTAAGATTACCATGGGATGTTGACATTTTGACGGTCAAGAACTAAACATGGGGTTTTGTACAGTCGGCGTAATTTGAAAATGTACAGGAAACATTGGACTCTTCACATCAATATTTCTCTATTCATTTGATTCCCCAGAACAATATAAAGAATGGGGAATATAGACGTGAGTATAAATATTAAACTCCATGACATTTATCATAAAAATTATTACTATGCAACATAATTTGACAATAAAATTAACCTGTTTCTGTCACGATTCACAATGTGTTAAGATTTTCCCGTGAAAATCTGCCCTACTCTGACGTCAGAGATTTCAGGTTTGCTAATTATAATATTCATGAGCTGACTTTGGGGAAAGGTGAATTGAATTGGACAAGTTTATCTAATAGGGATGAAAATATCTGAACTCACCATTTAATTGAAAGATGGCAGCTGTGTTAGACCTACCTTGTCTCCCTACGAATGGATGATTCCATTCTGTTCTGGCGACGTCACATTGTAAGAATTGTTTGGCTCGTCAAATTAAGGAAGAAAAAAGGGTTAAATCTTGATGTATATAATTTGACGGAAAGGTTGGCAGGATATAACGCTGTGATGGCCAAACTTAATTTTTATGAAGAATAAATAGAAGAATATGGCAAAAATTGAGAAATAAGTCAATTTTGGACTGATGAGGAGCATGATCCTATCTCCATAGCTAAAGAATGAGACTGTCACTTACGTAATATTGTTGTGATGATACAACAACACTTGGAGGAAGTGGAAGTTGTCACTCATTATTTTTGTGACTGAGATTCCTCACAAAATTTCCCTGCTCATCACCCTTATTTCCTGATTTTTGTGAAACAATGAAAGGTCAGTGAGGCAAATGAGAGTGTGGGGCCAATTATAGAAGTTGATTTTGAACTTGAATTGCAAACATGACTTCAAAATCACCAAAACATCAAGTGACATTCCACTTCCTACAAGCTTAGCAATGGACAACTGATTTTTCAAATTAACCCAAACCCATATACTAAACCTCTTTCAAGGCTGACAGATTTAATTAAAAATAATAGCGAATAACCTCTTTACGTGGTTGAAATGAGTGAAAAAAATTGCACAAAAAGGGATTCAAATTTTTAGGGAACAAAATATCCCGCAAAATGAGCCATCTATACATTGTGCATTGCTAGTAGAACCACCCACTTAAACTAGGCTGTGAACATAAAATACAAATACTAAATTCTGTCCAAATGTGACCTGATGTGTACATCAGATATACACACTCTATACAGGCAAAATGCTATACCATCTTATCATCATGAGGTCTCAAATGGGCCTGATGTGTACATCAGATATACACACCATATACAGGCAAAATGCTATACCATCTTATCATCATGAGGTCTCAAATGGGCCTGATGTGTACATCAGATATACACACTCTATAAAGGCAAAATGCTATACCATCTTATCATCATGAGGTCTCAAATGGGCCTGATGTGTACATCAGATATACACACTCTATAAAGGCAAAATGCTATACCATCTTATCATCATGAGCTCTCAAATATGACCTGATGTGTATCAGATATACACACTCTATAAAGGCAAAATGCTATACCATCTTATCATCATGAGCTCTCAAATGGGCCTGATGTGTACATCAGATATACACACCATATACAGGCAAAATGCTATACCATCTTATCATCATGAGGTCTCAAATGGGCCTGATGTGTACATCAGATATACACACTCTATAAAGGCAAAATGCTATACCATCTTATCATCATGAGCTCTCAAATGGGCCTGATGTGTACATCAGATATACACACTCTATAAAGGCAAAATGCTATACCATCTTATCATCATGAGGTCTCAAATGGGCCTGATGTGTACATCAGATATACACACTCTATACAGGCAAAATGCTATACCATCTTATCATCATGAGGTCTCAAATGGGCCTGATGTGTACATCAGATATACACACTCTATACAGGCAAAATGCTATACCATCTTATCATCATGAGGTCTCAAATGGGCCTGATTGATGATCAGTCATTTAGCAGCTGTTCGTCTTTGCTTTAGGCCGATTTACTTTTATTTTCAGATGATCATTAGCAGACAGTAGCAGATACAATGTTGGATTAACTGTATCTCAATTTACACCTTTTACCACCACAAACTTTAGATTATAAGACATTTGACAACTAAAATGGCGGTTGCAACGGCTGACACAAAGATCCGTAATTTGGAAAGTTCTATCCTGTTCATGCAGTCTGATCATGCAATAACATTAAAGGGTCTGCACGCAGAGATACAAAAGCTTCAGAAGAAATGCTCTGGTATGCAAGTATATAATGAAAGTTCATATTTACATCCTAATAAAATGCTTTGAAAAATTCAATTACACAATAGATTAGAGGATTCTTTCAAATCACTGCATGCCATTTTGAAACTATATATAAACCAAAATGCCAAGTTGCAGATTGCAAGGAAAAGTACAAGTAGATACTAATCTAGATTTTCAGCTTTGATTTCTAAAAAAAATAATATTTTTGTTCTCCACATTAACATGCTAATTTTATGTTTTTCGTTTCAGAGTACACATTCCAGATTGCAATGCAAACAACTTCCTCAACTGAGTTTAATGAAGGTATGTGTTGTTATGTGTTATGGTCTCTCATGTCTCTTACATCATGGCTTGAATATAATGAATCCTATGTGTTCTTGTCTCTTGGGTCTTTCTTGTGGGTTGAATTTAATGAAGGTTTGTGTTCTTGTCTTTTATGTCTTTCTTATGTTATGGGTTGAATTTAATGAAGGTTTGTGTTCTTGTCTCTTATGTCTTTCTTATGTTATGGGTTGAATTTAATGAAGGTTTGTGTTCTTGTCTCTTATGTCTTTCTTATGTTATGCGTTGAATTTAATGAAGGTTTGTGTTCTTGTCTCTTGGGTCTTTCTAATGTTATGGGTTGATTTTAATGAAGGTTTGTGTTCTTGTCTCTTATGTCTTTCTTATGTTATGGGTTGAATTTAATGAAGGTTTGTGTTTTTGTCTCTTATGTCTTTCTTATGTTATGCATTGAATTTCATGAAGGTTTGTGTTCTTGTCTCTTGGGTCTTTCTAATGTTATGGGTTGATTTTAATGAAGGTTTGTGTTTTTGTCTCTTGGGTCTTTCTGTTATGGGTTGATTTTAATGAAGGTTTGTGTTCTTGTCTCTTATGTCTTTCTTATGTTATGGGTTGAATTTAATGAAGGTTTGTGTTCTTGTCTCTTATGTCTTTCTTATGTTATGGGTTGAATTTAATGAAGGTTTGTGTTCTTGTCTCTTGGGTCTTTCTAATGTTATGGGTTGATTTTAATGAAGGTTTGTGTTCTTGTCTCTTATGTCTTTCTTATGTTATGGGTTGAATTTAATGAAGGTTTGTGTTTTTGTCTCTTATGTCTTTCTTATGTTATGGGTTGAATTTAATGAAGGTTTGTGTTCTTGTCTCTTGGGTCTTTCTAATGTTATGGGTTGATTTTAATGAAGGTTTGTGTTCTTGTCTCTTATGTCTTTCTTATGTTATGGGTTGAATTTAATGAAGGTTTGTGTTTTTGTCTCTTATGTCTTTCTTATGTTATGCGTTGAATTTAATGAAGGTTTGTGTTCTTGTCTCTTGGGTCTTTCTAATGTTATGGGTTGATTTTAATGAAGGTTTGTGTTCTTGTCTCTTATGTCTTTCTTATGTTATGGGTTGAATTTAATGAAGGTTTGTGTTTTTGTCTCTTATGTCTTTCTTATGTTATGCGTTGAATTTAATGAAGGTTTGTGTTCTTGTCTCTTGGGTCTTTCTAATGTTATGGGTTGATTTTAATGAAGGTTTGTGTTCTTGCCTCTTATGCCTTTCTTATGTTATGGGTTGATTTTAATGAAGGTTTGTGTTCTTGTCTCTTATGTCTTTCTTATGTTATGCGTTGAATTTAATGAAGGTTTGTGTTCTTGTCTCTTGGGTCTTTCTAATGTTATGGGTTGATTTTAATGAAGGTTTGTGTTCTTGTCTTTTATGTCTTTCTTATGTTATGAGTTGATTTTAATGAAGGTTTGTGTTCTTGTCTCTTATGTCTTTCTTATGTTATGCGTTGAATTTAATGAAGGTTTGTGTTCTTGTCTCTTATGTCTTTCTTATGTTATGCGTTGAATTTAATGAAGGTTTGTGTTCTTGTCTCTTGGGTCTTTCTAATGTTATGGGTTGAATTTAATGAAGGTTTGTGTTCTTGTCTCTTGGGTCTTTCTTATGTTTTGCGTTGAATTTAATAAAGGTTTGTGTTCTTGTCTCTTGGGTCTTTCTAATGTTATGGGTTGAATTTAATAAAGGTTTGTGTTCTTGTCTCTTGGGTCTTTCTAATGTTATGGGTTGAATTTAATGAAGGTATGTGTTCTTGTCAACTACCTCTTCCTTCACCTCGAGGGGCTCTGCTGGGGAGTTCTGCAATCACTGTCAATACAGTTAGACTTGCTTTATTTTAGCGATCTTTACCGTATTCTCTCCAACAACGATACATATCATTATTGTAAAAATATGCTGTCACTTTCGTCCCAAATAAGGGATTTTTGGCAAGAAAATACATGAAATTCCCGGGGATTTTTGACTTTTCTCATAAATGGGCACTCTTTGTAATGGGTTACAATGGGAATTTCAATTTCAAAAGCGCCCTGGGTGCTTATTACGGCAAATACGGTAATTGCCTTTTTAATGTGTTCCCCTGCTTTGTTTCAGACCACTACATCAGACGTGTAAAATCATTGGAGGAATCTCTTGTACAAAGGGATACCAACAAAGCTGACCTTGAAAAACAAATTGAGAAAAAGGATAGAAAAATTGCCATGTTAGAACAGCAACTTAAAGCACAGGAGAAGAGACTGTGTGATAAGCTCAAAGAGAAAGATATAACTGTTCAGAAACTCAACAGAGAACTTGAGATGAAGACAGATAATATTGTAGCAATAACTCACCAGTTACATCAGATGAAGGTTGTCCAAATGAGATATAACGAGTCACATAGCAAAGACCAACAAGAACGATTCTCACATAGTCCTGCACCGCCTAAAGATGGCGCTCCATCAAGACGGAGAAGTAGTCTCCGGAAAAGTTCAACCACTCCTGCAGGGTTAGATATTCAGGATATCTCTGCAGGGAGGGTGTCTTCTGGGCGTAAGTTACCAGTCCCTCCAGATCCGTCACCATTTCTACATCATCCAAAACCTGAAGTGAAAGTTGAGCTCCGTCCCTCACCCCAAGTCTTGCCCCCAATCAGGAATATAGAGGAGGAATATTTGACCCCCAGGCAGGCGTACAGTCAAACATTTGTGCGTCACAAGTCAAACACACAGCAAAAGAATATCTCCCCCATAAATGGACTATCTTCCAGTGACTCCCAGGAAGTTGAAACATTAGCTGTAGATCAGACTTCAAAACATAAATGGAGGGAAGAAAACTCTCAAAGTTTTGACTATAATTAATTGCAGTAAATAGTTTGATTCATTCTTAGCAGAATTATAACTTAAAAGTGGGCAGTAAGTTGACTATGTCAACAATGATAACCGTAATATGTCAATTCCTCAGATTAAAGTCTAAACGGTGTCCAAATAACATGATAGATTTACTAAATATGACAGGAGATTTCTATATAAAAGGTCGCACATGTATATTGCTGATTTTTTAATATGCCATTTTAACAAAATTATTCTTTGAAGTCAGAACTGAGTACCATTAATTAATTACTGAATAAGTGAAATTGTGCTTTTGAGAAAATAATTTTAAATGGGCAAATTTAAGAAGAAAAAAGATCAAAATATTGTTGAAATATGGTACTCACACATTCCATTAAGTTCAGTGCTTCTTTTGTGTTAATATTAAACAACAGACAGAAAGCACTATTTTCATTGCTGTGTTTTTAGTACTTACTTTCAAATGAAAAGGTGGCATATTTAGTCAACACGTTGACCAAAACTAAATTAATCACATGATCTGAATATTTTTGCCAACTGGTGTAACAAATTTTGAACAATGATTTAAAATGAGGATTATTTACTTAAATTTATGATTGACCATTTTTATTAGGGACCATTTTTGCACTGGAACAATGTTCAGCTTTATTGGCGACGATGAAATATCCATGCACAAGTTTAGCATATTACTCAGAAGTATATGTATCTATTTTTGCTGTTTATATTTACTATTGCAATTGTAATGATTAATGTGCAAGGATTTTATTAAGTGTTTGCACTATTTTAAATATTTAAATTAAGAGGGAACCCTTATAATATGCATTTCTCTCTTGTATATTGTATTGTGTACTTAAGAACATTGGCGACACTATGTAGTAGTATACTACATATTAAATTAAGGTCAACGGAACAAATAAAATTAATTAATTTATATTTTGTAGAAATATGTTATTTGATGAATTTAATGTTCAAATTGTGGTTTCTCAGAAAACGTCATCATATAATGAGGGGTTGTAAATATGAGGATCACATTGTCCATTGTAGTGTGACATGAATGTTTGTTAATATTTGATTGCCAATGAATGGAGTATTAAGTGTTATCCAGATTTAGATTTGAATTCTACACACGTTCATCATTTTGTTAAGATTATAAATCACCCTTGGTATACTCAGCCACTTTAATGACCAGTCGGGTACAACAGCGTGACTAGAAAGGTACAATGGTTATTTTAAGTAAATTGACTGCTTAATCTCTTGCTTCTAGTGTGGGATATGAAAACTATGATATCATGGAATGTTTGGAAGCTCCCCAAAATTTTGTATTTTTTAGTAAAAAGAAAAAAAAAACAATGTATATTTTATGAGTAGCTATAAAAATGTGGACGCTTATGATCCCGACCAGTCTCTGTAGCTTCGTATACCTGTATAAGGGTGTAGATCAGCCAAAGAAATAAAATACATCATAAAATATTTATTTTGAAGTTTATTATTCCCTGCGTGGTGTAAACGAGTCAAATGTTGATATGCGTACGGTGTTCAAGTACAACCCACAGTATATAATATCTGCTATTGCTACAAACAACACATTTCAAATTTTCATTATACATATCCTTTCAGTATATCTAATGATCATACCATGCCTGTCAAACCCAAAAATGAGTCAAAACCCTGGAAACTAAAAATCAATTTCGGACACCTAATTGAATAGCCTTTTAACCCCCTACCCTAAGGTAATTCATCAAGTTTTTACGGACAGTTAAGTATTGACCCGGTCCCTAAGTACCAAACCCATGCTGAATGACTCAGTTATTATGATTTGTTTGGTATGCCTTTTTGGCTACCCTGTATCATTGTATGTACAATATAGATAACGTCTATGACCCGACATAAATAAATATATATTATCACCAAGTATCAAAATATGAGTGTCCTTATGAGTGTAAATAGCCTTCGAGTTTGTCAACGAGATTGTTTTATCATTTAACAAAGAACTTATCTTCCGCCATTCTTTATATTCACAACATCTAGTTATTTTCGACAAAACAACCCGTGGACTGGAATAAAGACACAGAGGTAAAATTATTTCATTTATTGTTAATGAAATGTCAGCGATTTAGATTTAATTTTGGCAAAATATGAATAGTTTCATTTGGTATAGTTTAAGTTTAATTTGTGATTGTACATGATAATCATTGTTGTTTCTTTTTGAAGATGATTTTCTTTTGAAGGCGACTGATACAATTCCGAAGAATGCTAATGCTCTCAGCCACCAGAGAGTGTAGTTACGCCAATCAACAACACAACGTCTCCCCAGTCTCCTAGAGGATTAGTCTTAATAACTATATGATTCTACGAACTGCAATTGCGACATGCCATCATTTTCTCCGGCAGTTTCAAATTCCAAGATGACGTTGTTCGTCACGGTCTGGTTGCTTATGAGTGGACTATTGTATCACGTCAAACAAACAGAGGAGAAATCCCCAAGGATCAGGCAAAATAAACATATTCGTTTTGACAAAGCGTTGAGTTACTCAGTAAGAATATTCTCAGGCCGATTTATCAACTTCCAATATGAAGGACCAATTGTCATCCATAATGCAAGAACAGGACAAATATATAGACATGGTAACACTACACCCTAGACCTGGTATTTCCACAATATAACATATATCATCGAATAATTAAGGTTGACTGGGTTCATAAACAACTCCCATTTTCTTTTACTATGTCGTCATTATATCCATGGTTACTGATTGATGAATTCTTTAATTACGATTTTTTTTAATGACAACGTAGATGTTTATTGCAAAGAGGAACTGAGCTCCCAGCATTCTTTTGGATCATTCTTCTGACTGGTATGGACCAATTTAATTGATCGGCCTCCTAATAATATAATATTACATGCATTTATTTCTCTACATTCGACGCCTTGTTTGTTCGACAGAAGTTGAAAATAGTATTCCGACGTTATGCCATATATACCGGTACTCCATGATATTGCTGTAATATTAGTGTACTGTAACGTCAGAAAACTTAAATACAAAAAATATATTATAACAAAATATTAATATCCCTGTTTTAATTAGTGTATTTGGTCAATATCATAATTACATGTATCGGAATAAGTCCCAGCAGGGGGCATAATAGAAACTTCGTAGAGGATAAGAATTCTTTAGTTAGTTCTTACAATTTCATTATATTAATGGCTACAACGTGACAATTTATTTGGGAATTCTTAACTAGACGACGTTTCTGTGACAATGGTAACATAATCAAAAAGCTAATATTGATAAACGAGCAACGAGTATCTTCGCTTTTACCAAACATATACTATAGATATAGTATCTGTTTAACGTTATTGTTGTATTTTACATATTCTTGCAATGTTATCAGACACAATGTGTATATACTAGATATAGTATCTGTTTAACGTTATTGTTGTATTTTACATATTCTTGCAATGTTATCAGACACAATATGTATATACTATAGATATAGTATCTGTTTAACGTTATTGTTGTATTTTACATATTCTTGCAATGTTATCAGACACAATGTGTATATACTAGATATAGTATCTGTTTAACGTTATTGTTGTATTTTACATATTCTTGCAATGTTATCAGACACAATGTGCCGTCATCTTCACAAAAATATCCAAAATCTTGGCAATAAACGATTTAGCAATAATTTGATATAATTCAGTGACCAGTCCCAATTAGAAAATCATGGTAGATAAAGTACAATTTGTATTTTGGATCATAGAAACATGAGCACGTCACTGTTCCACAGCTGGATGACTCTAACTGCAGTTAGTATCATTCAACATGGTGGCCAAAATTCTTTCGTTTTCGCTAAACCTCCGATTTCAGCTAAACTACAAGGCTGATCAATATATTTGCTACTTTATGCTTTACATGTATTTTCTTTTTATTTGATCATTTACGTGGAAAGGCATGGGCATGCAGTGTAGAATTCCACAAACTAATTAAGTTATAATTGTAAACAGTCATGAAAAAACGTTCAAACACACAAGATATTGGAGAAATTTAGTGAAAACGACCTCACTTAGAATGACTCTAGCTGAACTTGGTGACTGTTTACAATTATAACTTTTTTAGTTTGCATGGCGAAACATTTGGAATCCAGATTCAACTTAGATGAGCCGAAATCGTTGGTTTATTATTCATAATATAATATAAACGAAAAAACGAAGAAAAGAATATTTGCCAATGATACTAACATCCAGGTGTGGAACAGTGTGCATGCACTTATAAATTTGTATTTCCCTTTACTATCTTTATTATTGGTGTCTACGAGCGCCTGTCTATTTCAAATATAAAACAATATACAGTATACTTCAGTAAATTCAGTAAACCATGCAAGAATATCAGAGAAAGTGGCAATCAACATCAAAATATGTCACTTTGTGTTGTATAATTTTGAAAAGATTTTTCCAAGAACGACGGCGTCTGGAAACGTATTGTATATTTAGCCATTATGTCTTTTTCATTGATTATATATGCCCGGGGTCTGTCATTATGGCAGGTCGAAGCATATATTCAATGATGGCTACGTTATATCAATGACGTCATACGTCTGTGTGCGAGTGAAATTTGGAAAGAAACTTTCCATGATAAAAAGTTTGACGGCTGTACAATGTATTACGTAGGACGTAACTTAAGTAATGTCGTATTGTAAACTAAAGACGTAAATAACCACGTATGTATTGTCCTTGGTTTGGGTAATGTAGCACGAATATGTTATCGTATTGTTGTTTCATATATAATCTAAACCAGGCATGTAAAATGTGTTGGACCTCTATTCCAGCTAACGGACATATTAGTTTTCTACAAAAGTTTTACAGCGAGTTGTTTAACAGACGACGATTGGATTATGATACCCATATATATATTATACAGTTATAAATGTCAATTATAGTTTTCCTTCTTGTCGTCTACACTGCAAAGACAATCGTCTTAATTAACCATATTTGGTTCAGTCATTATTCTGAAACCCATTTCACAAATTCGATTCATATTCTGTCCCAGTCCCATCAGCGTATGGCGTCAAAAGGACAATTTCTCACCACCTGTCATTCATTTCTACATCTCTAAATAATCTCTAAATGAAAAAATGAATAACCTTACTAATACGTATACGTATATATACTTGTTTGTTACATACATGTTGTCTCTTTGGTTCCTCATTAGGTTCTTATTATAATATTGCATATCAAAGAAATGTCATTCACACATAGCTAGGCAAGGTGTGTCCGATTCCAGCCAATCTGAACAAAGTATTTCGTATATCTGCACTGTATTATATTACTAGTAATCCACCCAAGGTCATTCGTTGAATTAAATGATTTCGTTTTTAGGTAATTTCGGAGAGAATACTTTGTAATGTGTGAAAAGAATTTAAGCCCAAGATTCAATGGCAATGCATTGTGGCCGATTCATTCCACTCGGGCGTTGTCTCCTCAACTTGATCGAAGATTGAAACAGTAACTTTTTGAAGAATGATCAGTCCACAATGTCCTGAGTCTAGAGCTTATCCTTAAATGATGCATATCACGGGTACGAAACAGCTTTGTACCTATGCTAACAGTTCGCTCCGTTAACTTATCAACAGGTTCCTATTAAAATGGGGAATAGCATTCTCAGTACGCAGAGCTCTAAAATCATCCAGAATACCTTCTTTCTTTTTGAAGAAGGAGGTACGGATTCTGGACACCTGCTTAGGAGTATGTGAGAATTGAGATTCAATAAGGATCTCACTCATAGATGCTACACACACCAGTATGAAATTGTTCTCTCATCGTACAATGTGTCTATTGGATGATGCCTGCCAGTGGTCGTCACTATGGTTACAGCTGGACGCCATCTTCCACCATGTTGGATAATCGAATTGGTGTTTCTTCTGTGTCGTGCATACGAGGTCTTGCTTCGGGCTGGATGATCGTATATGCTCTCTAAAATATTAATACGTACTCCTAGATCTTAATAGAAAAACGTCTGTAGAATACAAAGCTGATCTGCTTAATCAATATAGAAAAGTAATTAATAACTTTAATTATTATTACTCTATGACTATACACATTTCTTCCAAAAATTGTTACAGGGAAATGTCCCATACTCCCATGATTTGACCAAACTTGCACAAGAATTATCATTTGTAAAAAAGGGGATAAGCCACCTTAAGATATACAATTACATGGAATGTTTAAGCATTGCAATAACACTTACACGAGCTATGGACCCTTCCGTTGCTATGAACTTGTAAATGAGGTATATCGGTATGCAAATGATCGAAGAACACGTAACTAACCATCCCATTGCTATAGCCCAGCGTGGATACTGATAGTTCTTGTCCATTTCATCTGGATTATAGTCCACACATGACATTATGAAGAGAATCTATAAGAAAACATTACAGAAAATACACATACGCTGAACTGAAAATACATATACAATGAACTCACAATATTTTCACTTGGCACCTTTTGAGGTGGATCCCGGCTATGGCATTAATGGTTGAGAAATAGGGATCGAAACCAGCCATAGTTTTCTCCTGATGACCATTGTGAATTATTGTGTTTTATGGATTATGGCGACGGCTTTTGTGAATGGATGAAACGTCTATGGACTTGGAGACTGGATTTTATCTATCCCACATCATTTGAGACTGAATGCTCTATCTTGTACGAGTACTTGTATCTACAACTATTTTTGAGGTTGAGTATTGGTTATCAATTTTTCAATTTTTCTTCAACATGTATTGGAATGACTTCAGTATGAATGAAATGTCCCTTGGTCTTCTGGTCTTGGATTGTGATATTGGTTCTTGAATGGTGGGGGGAAGGGGGTATTAGACATTGTTTCTTTTCACGTGAGATCATTGTTTTGGGCTATATGGGGTTTGTTTTTCTTGACTGGTATGCACTTAGAGTTTGCTTTTTCTTGCGAAGTTCCATTACAACTTTTGGTCCTTTCCCTTTGGCACTTGTGCTCATATATTTATAAGTGTACATCCCGAAGCCTGTATCATGTACATTTGAAATATTACTTTGAGAATGTGAACAATTATTAATTGGGGTTTCTGATTTTTAACTTGACTTTATGAAAACAAACTATTTGGTACGGTTCTTAAATGTGCCATTGTTATTTCGGTTGCATTTTGGTTCTAAAACATGTCATTCTTATTTTCGGTTGCATTTTGGTTCTAAAACGTGTCATTGTTATTTTGGGTTACACTTTGGTTCTAAAACATGTCATTGTTATTTTGGGTTGCACTTTGGTTCTTGAAACGTGTCATTGTTATTTTGGGTTACACTTTGGTTCAAAAACGTGTCATTGCTAGTTTGGTTGCATTTTGGTTCTAAAACGTGTCATTGTTATTTTGGGTTACACTTTGGTTCTAAAACGTGTCATTGTTATTTTGGGTTACACTTTGGTTCTAAAAACGTGTCATTCTTATTTTGGGTTGCACTTCGGTTCTAAAAGGTGTCATTGTTATTTTGGGTTACACTTCGGTTCTAAAACGTGTCATTGTTATTTTGGGTTGCACTATAAAAAGGTACATAATAAATGTGATACTTACGAAAAGAAATATAGGACTAATTCCTGCCCAGCATATCTTCCAAAATATTCCTGGTCCTGCCCCGAGCATCGTTTTGATATCAGCACTAAACCGACGTACCCCTAAATGAGATGGCCAGTAAGATTAAATCTCATTAAGAAAATATCAAGTAAGAATGTCCTTACATTGATACATTTAGCTAACAAAAAGTTTAGTTTAGTATAGAGTGATACAAAAATTCAACAAATTGATAAACGCGTTTCCACTTTTGATACGTCAATCTGAGGTTTGATACAACTAAAGTCATGTCTAACCTGTTGAATTCATGGTTTGGAAATGTCTAAACTGTTGAATTCATGGTTTGGAAATATCTAAACTGTTGAATTCATCGTTTGGAAATGTCTAAACTGTTGAATTCATGGTTTGGAAATGTCCAAACTGTTGAATTCATGGTTTTGGAAATGTCTAAACTGTTGAATTCATGGTTTGGAAATGTCTAAACTGTTGAATTCATGGTTTGGAAATATCTAAACTGTTGAATTCATCGTTTGGAAATGTCTAAACTGTTGAATTCATGGTTTGGAAATGTCTAAACTGTTGAATTCATGGTTTGGAAATGTCCAAACTGTTGAATTCATCGTTTGGAAATGTCTAAACTGTTGAATTCATGGTTTGGAAATGTCTTAACTGTTGAATTCATGGTTTGGAAATGTCTAAACTGTTGAATTCATGGTTTGGAAATGTCTAAACTGTTGAATTCATGGTTTGGAAATGTCTAAACTGTTGAATTCATGGTTTGGAAATGTCTAAACTGTTGATTCATGGTTTTGAAATGTCTAAACTGTTAAATTCATGGTTTGAGAATGTCTAAACTGTTCAATTCACGGTTTTGAAATGTCTAAACTGTTGAATTCATGGTTTTGAAATGTCTAAACTGTTGAATTCATGGTTTGAGAATGTCTAAACTGTTGAATTCATCGTTTGGAAATGTCTAAACTGTTGAATTCATGGTTTGAGAATGTCTAAATTGTTAAATTCACGGTTTGGAAATGTCTAAACTGTTGAATTCATCGTTTGGAAATGTCTAAACTGTTGAATTCATGGTTTGCAAATGTCTAAACTGTTAAATTCACGGTTTGGAAATGTCTAAACTGTTGAATTCATGGTTTGGAAATGTCTAAACTGTTGAATTCATGGTTTGGAAATGTCCAAACTGTTGAATTCATCGTTTGGAAATGTCTAAACTGTTGAATTCATGGTTTGGAAATGTCTTAACTGTTGAATTCATGGTTTGGAAATGTCTTAACTGTTGAATTCATGGTTTAGAAATGTCTAAACTGTTGAATTCATGGTTTGGAAATGTCCAAACTGTTGAATTCATCGTTTGGAAATGTCTAAACTGTTGAATTCATGGTTTGGAAATGTCTTAACTGTTGAATACATGGTTTGGAAATGTCTTAACTGTTGAATTCATGGTTTGGAAATATCTAAACTGTTGAATTCATCGTTTGGAAATGTCTAAACTGTTGAATTCATGGTTTGGAAATGTCCAAACTGTTGAATTCATCGTTTGGAAATGTCTAAACTGTTGAATTCATGGTTTGGAAATGTCTTAACTGTTGAATTCATGGTTTGGAAATGTCTAAACTGTTGAATTCATGTTTGGAAATGTCTAAACTGTTGAATTCATGGTTTGGAAATGTCTAAACTGTTGAATTCATGGTTTGCAAATGTCTAAACTGTTAAATCCACGGTTTGGAAATGTCTAAACTGTTGAATTCATGGTTTGGAAATGTCTAAACTGTTGAATTCATGGTTTGGAAATGTCCAAACTGTTGAATTCATCGTTTGGAAATGTCTAAACTGTTGAATTCATGGTTTGGAAATGTCTTAACTGTTGAATTCATGGTTTGAAAATGTCTTAACTGTTGAATTCATGGTTTGGAAATGTCTAAACTGTTGAATTCATGGTTTGGAAATGTCCAAACTGTTGAATTCATCGTTTGGAAATGTCTAAACTGTTGAATTCATGGTTTGGAAATGTCTTAACTGTTGAATACATGGTTTGGAAATGTCTTAACTGTTGAATTCATGGTTTGGAAATATCTAAACTGTTGAATTCATCGTTTGGAAATGTCTAAACTGTTGAATTCATGGTTTGGAAATGTCCAAACTGTTGAATTCATCGTTTGGAAATGTCTAAACTGTTGAATTCATGGTTTGGAAATGTCTTAACTGTTGAATTCATGGTTTGGAAATGTCTAAACTGTTGAATTCATGTTTGGAAATGTCTAAACTGTTGAATTCATGGTTTGAAAATGTCTAAACTGTTGAATTCATGGTTTGGAAATGTCTAAACTGTTGAATTCATGGTTTTGAAATGTCTAAACTGTTGAATTCATGGTTTGAGAATGTCTAAACTGTTAAATTCACGGTTTGGAAATGAATAAACTGTTGAATTCATGGATTTGAAATGTCTAAACTGTTGAATTCATGGTTTGAGAATGTCTAAACTGTTGAATTCATCGTTTGGAAATGTCTAAACTGTTGAATTCATGGTTTGAGAATGTCTAAACTGTTGAATTCACGGTTTGGAAATGTCTAAACTGTTGAATTCATCGTTTGGAAATGTCTAAACTGTTGAATTCATGGTTTGTAAATGTCTAAACTGTTAAATTCACGGTTTGGAAATGTCTAAACTGTTGAATTCATGGTTTGGAAATGTCTAAACTGTTGAATTCATGGTTTAGAAATGTCTAAACTGTTGAATTCATCGTTTGGAAATGTCTAAACTGTTGAATTTATGGTTTGGAAATATCTAAACTGTTGAATTCATCGTTTGAAAATGTCTAAACTGTTGAATTCATTGTTTGAAAATGTCTAAACTGTTGAATTCACGGTTTGGAAATGTCTAAACTGTTGAATTCATCGTTTGGAAATGTCTAAACTGTTGAATTCATGGTTTGAGAATGTCTAAATTGTTGAATTCACGGTTTGGAAATGTCTAAACTGTTGAATTCATCGTTTGGAAATGTCTAAACTGTTGAATTCATGGTTTGCAAATGTCTAAACTGTTAAATTCACGGTTTGGAAATGTCTAAACTGTTGAATTCATGGTTTGGAAATGTCTAAACTGTTGAATTCATGGTTTGGAAATGTCTAAACTGTTGAATTCATCGTTTGGAAATGTTTAAACTGTTGAATTCATGGTTTGGAAATGTCCAAACTGTTGAATTCATCGTTTGGAAATGTCTAAACTGTTGAATTCATGGTTTGCAAATGTCTAAACTGTTGAATTCATGGTTTGGAAATGTCTAAACTGTTGAATTCATGTTTTGGGATGTCTAAACTGTTGAGTTCATGGTTTGGGAATGTGTAAACTGTTGAATTCATTGTTTGGGAATGTCTAAACTGTTGAATTCATGGTTTGGGAATGTCTAAACTGTTAAATTCACGGTTTGGAAATGTCTAAACTGTTCAATTCATCGTTTGGAAATGTCTAAACTGTTGAATTCATCGTTTGGAAATGTCTAAATTGTTGAATTCATGGTTTGTAAATGTCTAAACTGTTGAATTCATGGTTTGGAAATGTCTAAACTGTTGAATTCATGGTTAGAAAATGTCTTAACTGTTGAATTCATGGTTTAGAAATGTCTAAACTGTTGAATTCATGGTTTGGAAATATCTAAACTGTTGAATTCATGGTTTGGAAATGTCTTAACTGTTGAATTCATGGTTTGGGAATGTCTAAACTGTTAAATTCACGGTTTGGAAATGTCTAAACTGTTGAATTCATCGTTTTGAAATGTCTGAACTGTTGAATTCATCGTTTGGAAATGTCTAAACTGTTGAATTCATGGTTTGGAAATGTCTAAACTGTTGAATTCATGGTTTGAAAATCTCTAAACTGTTGAATTCATGGTTTGGAAATGTCTAAACTGTTGAATTCATGGTTTGAAAATGTCTAAACTGTTCAATTCATGGTTTGGAAATGTCTTAACTGTTGAATTCATGGTTTGGGAATGTCTAAACTGTTAAATTCACGGTTTGGAAATGTCTAAACTGTTGAATTCATCGTTTGGAAATGTCTTAACTGTTGAATTCATGGTTTGGAAATGTCTAAACTGTTGAATTCATGGTTTGAAAATGTGAAAAGCTGGTTAAATTACATCCATCGTAACACAAAGACCTGATTTCATCTTTTACTTTCGGAATACCTTTAGTATTTTTTGTGGATCGAAGGGTCTACTTCAGAAAATTCATAGAGATTGCAACTTTTTATGATGACTTTTTGTGTCACCCTGTACTATATGTTATTTTATTTACCATCTACAAGATGGTAAACCTTTTTACTGTACAATGAACTCGTGTATAAAATGATATTAACAATTTTAAAGAGAGAGATTCAACGATAATTAAAAAGCAACAAAAATGAGAAATACATGCAATTCAAAGTAAAGAAAATTCGGCAAAAATCTTTTTAACCTGAACTAGGCCTATTAACTTTTCATTGAATATTTGATTTAATCAGAAGAAAACGAAAAAACTACATACCATAGAACCAGTTAACTGCAACTGCCTCAACAAAGACGATGAACAGAAGAGCAATTGGAGCCCCATGTGTGTCCAGCAGCTGAATGACATAATTACCTCCCTGGAAAATGATGAAAGGGACTTACATGGTAGTCACAAGAAAGTCCATGATGAGACTCCCTGTAATAGAACAGATTCCCTACTAAATTGTACATGTCGGATGTACCAAACTTCCTGGTGACCGCCGTGCAATAGAGATGAAAGAGAACTAGAGAAGGTTTTCTGGCAAGTCCTTGATGGGACTCACTGCGTGTTAATCTTAAGTCATATTGTGGTGGTTATACTTACATATGTTGTTGTAGGAAGTGCACCAAAGAAAATGAACACGATCAAGACAGCAACAAACAGTTCTCGTCTCTTCAGAGTAGCTGGGTACTCGTCATGGACGGCTGTAATTATTGCTTCCAACCCACCAAACTAAAACATTAAATAATAATAGGTCCTGCCATATTTTGCTTTCGGTGGTCGCTTTGGCTGCAATTCTAGAAAACTATATTATGTGCAAATAAAAATGTATGCTTTTTCCAAAATTGGAAATAAGTTAATACAACTTTGCGATGGCTTTAGTACCTGGCAAAATAAGTTAACATAACACTTACGGTTGTGTCAAGCCCGAGCATAATAAGCATAGTAAAGAATATGAACGACCAGAATACAGCGCCATCTAAAGTTGCAAGAGCTTCCGGGTATGCTATGAAGACAAGTCCAGGACCTATCAATCAGAAAATAAAAGTGATATCCCAGCGACAATATGAACAATGGTCACTTGTTTACCATTAAAGTTGTCACTCTGTTACCAAAACATAAACAAAGACACCTTGATCGCGGTCATGGAAAATCGGAGTCTTTCAAACCTTATGTTGTGTATATATGTATGTTAATCTCTCTGTGCCTTCTACACTTGGAATGTATAACAGCAAATTATATATCTTACCAGGATCTGCCACAGTCTTGATGACTTTGCCCAGTCTGGAGGCCATTTATCAAAGAACATAAAATACAACAAATACATCTTACCAGACTTTACCACAGTCTTTATGGCTCTGTCCTGTCTGAAGGCTATGTATCCAAGCACAGAAAATATGACAAATATAACTTACCAGACTCTCCCACAGTCTTTATAGCCTTGCCCTGTTTGGAGGCTATGTATCCGAGTACAGAAAATACAACAAATATAACTTACCAGACTCTCCCACAGTCTTTATGGCTCTGTCCGGTCTGAAGGCCATTTATCAAAGAACATAAATACGACAAAAATAATTTACCAGACTCTACCAGAGTCTTTATGGCCTTGCCCTGTTTGAAGGCTATGTATCCGAGTACAGAAAATACAACAAATATATCGTACCAGACTCTGCCACAGTCTTGACGCCTTTGCCCTGTTAGAAGGCCATGTATCCGAGTTCAGAAAATACAACAAATATATTACCAGACTCTACCACAGTCTTTATGGCTTTGCCCTGTTTAAAGGATATGTATCCGAGTACAGAAAATACAACAAATATATCTTGTACCTATTTGTCGAGGTGCTGGTAAGATGAACAGTAACGGTGTATTGTTAAATGATATGTGTATTCGATGTAGTTTAAATGTGATTGACTTAACAGATAAGGGTTCTGGCCCAGAGTATACATATTATAGAGAAAATGTAGGAAGATCTTATATTGATCACTGCCTTGTTTCAGAAGAATATGCTCAGAAAGTTAAAACTGTAAAAGTGATTGATGATGAATTGATAAATAATTCTGACCATTTACCCTTGCAGGTCGTACTAGAAACATCTACCTTAGTGCCAATCACACCCTCCTCTGACAATTGTAACCCAGTGAAGCTAGCATGGGATAAGCTTGATGCAAATGCGCTTTATGAGAGGTATACAGCTCCCTTGACACTATCTCTTAAACCCCTCTCTGATAAGCTAATTAATAGTAAGTCTGAGGTAACGCCTGAACTACTTGATTCCCTGTTTGATGAACTGACTGATGTTTTAAAGTCTGTGTCAGCTGATGCTATACCTAGAAGGTCTTTCAAGAAGCACTTAAAGCCATACTGGTCTGATACACTGAGCCAGTTATCTACAGACAAGAAGTCAGCATTCAAGATGTGGAAGTTGAATGGAAGACCAAGGAACAAAGAGAATGAGCACTGGATTCGCTATAAGACTGCAAAGCGCCAATTCAGGCGGGAAATCCGTCGTGCTGAGTACAAGTATGAGATGGAATGTCAGGAGGAAATCGACAGAGCGGGAGAGATAAGCTTGAAGCAATTTTGGTTTATTGTTAAGAGACGGAGGAATCGGAGTAATAGTAGCTATTCTATACGTAATAAGGACGGAATAATCTTAACACAGACTGATGAGATCCGGAGTGAATGGATGAATTATTTTAAAACATTAATGTCAATAAAGCCAAATGATAATTTTGACAGTAATCATGAACATGTGATTAACACAAGAATAGTAGAAATGCTGCAGGACAGTTTTAACAATGATGATGAAGCGTTAAATGATCCTATAAACTACAAAGAGATGACTACTTTAATTAACAACCTCTCTCGAAACAAGGCTACAGGGTGGGATGAAATCAGCACTGAACATTTACGCTTTGGTGGAGACGCACTTGCCAATATACTTGTAGCATTGTACAACCATATAATAAGACTGGAGCACATCCCAGATAGCTTTAAACTTGGTGTACTAATCCCCATCTTTAAAGGAGGAAACAAGGATATTTTGGAGAAGGACAACCATAGGGGCCTGACGCTGATGACGACCTTCATGAAGTTATGGGAAAAGATTATGGTAACGCGGAGCAGGAGGTGCCATAGGATTGAGCCGAAGTCAGAGATGCAGGCCGCAAACAAGACCATGACGTCATGTCTCCACACATCGCTTCTGACAAGAGAAGCCATATGTAATGGCCTTGAAAGTGGTAATGACGTCATAATGGTCACAATGGACATTAGCAAGGCCTTCGACACGGTGTGGCACAATGGCCTCTTCTACAAGCTTTTTAATCTTGGGATACATGGGAAGATATGGAGGATGTTGCGACTATGCTACAGTGACTACCAGTGCGCAGTAAGGTGTGGTAATGACGTCACACTCTCAGATAAGTTCCCGATCTCTCAGGGAGTTCATCAGGGAGGATTGTACTCCATGGAGCTATACGGGGAGTATATGAATAGGCTTCTCTTAGATGTGATTGACTCTGGTAAAGGGTGCTCTGTGGGTGATGTACTATGTACATGTCCATCCTATGCTGATGATACTGTCATTATTGCCTATCATAAAAAGACAATGCAAGACATCTTAAACATGATGCATCAGTATAGCATTAAATGGCGCTTCAATTATCATCCGGACAAATGTAAGGCCATCATATTTAGTAATAGTCGTGCCACTCAACAGGCAGGAATAGACTTACAACTTGGAGGTCGTACAATAGATGTAGTCCAAACAACACAACATGTCGGCCTTCCAATGTCGAACTACAACAGTAATAGAGAACTGATAGAGTCTGCACTATCAAAAGGAAAGAGAGCAATGAATGCATATGTTGGGACAACAACACACACCCAGAACCCAACCAACCCCCTCACTGCGTCTAAGTTATATTGGTCTGTCAGTATGCCTTCTATGACGTATGGAATGGAACTTGTCCCCCTCAGTGAAACCGATTATAAGATGCTCGAGCAGGGACATAGAAGTATATGCAAACAACTACAAGGCCTGCCAGTAAGCACATCTGACCCAGCTGTCCTACCCCAACTAGGCTGGCATACTATGACGGCGACTATAGTAGTGGCTAAAATGATGTTCCTGCTACAACTTCTATCTCAGGTATCAGGTTCGATCTTCCGTACCATAGCAATAAAGCGTATCACGAAGTTCAGATATGACAGTAACCCGCTACACAAAATGTCACCTATTGGTGACATAATGACACTCGCATCACGGTTTGGCATATCAAACGTGATATATGAAATGATGGACAGTGGTGAAGTTCCCCCAAAATCTACCTGGAAACGATATATTAGGAATATAGTAAGGACTTTTGAATGCAACATGTGGAGAAGAGAACTTATTACATATGATAAATTAACATTATACCGAACTGTAGTCACTGGTACAAAACCGATTGCCTGGTGGGAAATAGCTAGGCAGGACTGTGGATACATTAAGAGATGCACCCTGATGGTACGACTGCTCACGGGTCAAGGAAAACTCCGAGCTATTACCGGTGAATGGGAAAATATTCCGGTGTATGATCGCATATGTGGAATGTGTGACATGCAACGCATTGAAACTCTGGAGCACTTCATCTTGGAATGCCCCAGATACTGCTCATTAAGAACAAATATAACAAATATATTACATGGGATACCCAATGGGAGACACATGACTAACATACTGAAGCTACGGTGCATATTTGGAGGAGATGAGACTCTAACAAACGAAGATCTTAAATGCATCTCAACAGCTGTGCAAAATATGTACATTCTAAGGATGGAGTGATACTGTAACACGAAGCACCAATCAGGATGTCAACAAAGAGGCGTGATTGGCACTCCTGGTGATGTCCTAGACAACTGCTTTTGTATATAATTTCCTTCTCATTTTGAAATCGTAATGGTTCGCACAGTGGTGCAGTGGGACCCCCAGGGGAGAACATGGGCTAACCAGGAGGGTTCTGCTGTATCAATGCTTTCCACTTGTCTTTGTATTTTTATAAATCTTTATTTTTATTACATTTATTATATACTGTAATGATATATTATCTCCATGATTGGAGGGGCAATAAATATAATAATAATAATAACCAGGCTCTGCCACTTTCTCGATGTCTTTGCCCTGTTTGAAAGCCATGTATCCAAGTACAGAAAATACAACAAACCCTGCAAGGAAGCTGGTAAGGCAATTTATGCTGCTTGTTATAAGGGCATCCCTGAAAACGAAAACATAAAAATTGGATCAACAAATATTCAATCGGGATGATTCATCTCATCTCGTCTTTCATTGAATTTTACATTTGACTGAGTCACTGCTTGTGTTAACATTACAATAATAAATGTATACTTTGTTCTTGATGTAACCCTTGCATATTCTCTGTGCATATAATATTATATGAACACACAACATACAAAATGGCTATACCTGTAGCAGTTATTGTGAAACTTATTGTAACTAGAGAGTGCTAGAAGTACGCCGAAACCAGGGCCCAGGGAGAAAAAGATTTGTGAAGCTGCAGCCGTCCAGACCTTCCATGTGATAGAAATGTTTTACAATTGTCATATAATCCAATGTTACAATATAAGCAGATTCACACTGTTGTGAGAGAGTTAGTTATTAGGTTAGGTTCACGTTACGGAAAAGTGCTATTTGATTTATAAAGAGGTTCTAATGAGTGAAAATCATTACCTGTCTATTTTGGAGTTTATCCCACTGCGGAGTGATATAGTAGAGGATGCCATCAGCAGATCCAGGCAGGGTAACTCCCCGGATTAGGAGTATAAACAGGACTATATATGGTAAAGTAGCGGTCACCCAAACTGCCTACGTCACAAAGAGAATACTATGAACAAGACTATATATGGTAACGTAGCGGTCACCCAAACTGCCTACGTCACAAAGAGAATACTATGAACAAGACTATATATGGTAACGTAGCGGTCACCCAAACTGCCTACGAATAGTATGAACATGACTACAGGATCCAGAAAGTATGGACCCCCCCCCCCCCCCCCCAGGCAGACATATTCAAATGTCTACATAGTATGGCATATATCATTTTAAAGTTAATCCAGAATTACATTGGTTAACATCAACTCTTAAATGGGAAAAGTTACAGGCATTTCAAATTTGGTGTTTGGCCAAAATTAAAATTCAACTTTACACCAGATTAATAGTCGGTGTGTCGCCCTAGGCCATGTTAACAGCAGCCATTCTTTTCAGATATGACATTAACCTTAATGTCAATCCGACCCCCCCCCCCCCCTCTCGATTTTTCAAGAGTCCTTTTTGCAAATTCTTTTGCGTGAGCCACAGATATAAGACACTTTTATGGGTATAAATCAAGGAACAATACGAAGTCATACATTCATACAACTGCATACTAAATTACTGATTGGCATTTGTTGTACATCTTGAAATATGAATGATGAAGACAAAAACAAGTTGAATTACTGACTTTTAAATTTCATGTTACATTGGTTTCAATTGGATTTCAATGCGTGCTATCTTTGAAAGTGTAAAACTTTAGTTCTATAAAACCTTTTACCATGATTTTAGCTTAATTTGAAAGATAATAGATTATTCATTAAGTCAGCGAATTGTTTTTGTCACCAAAAGATTTATTGTGAAAGAACATTGACAATTTATCACAAAATATAAAAGTGTGCACCCCCTAGGTCCTACTTTTTTCAAAAACGGTAAGAGGTAATTGATAAAGGCTTACGACAATATTAAAATCGCAGAGAGGGAGGGTCCGATATATCTGCCCTCGCCGTCCCTTTTCCAACTCAATATCCATTCTACCTAGCATATTTCCGTTCACATTCAGGTCAGAGCTGTTAACAGGATACTGATCTGAATTTGAATTTTAGCCAAATCACTTAAGTTTTGAAATACATTGTACCAGTAACTTTTTCCCATTTAGTAAGTTGAACCATGATACTTGTATCAATGTATCTTTGGATAACCTTTAAAATAATATATGGAATATACTATGGAGACATTGGTATATGTCTGCTAGGGGGTCCCATCCTTTCCAGACACCCTGTATATATGGCAAAGTATCGGTCACTCAAACTGCTTAAGTCATGAAGAGAGAATGATACGAAGAAGTGGTCATCCAAACTATCCACGTCACAAATAGAGGATAGTATTAACAGGACTAGTAGCTATACTAGATAGTAACCCAAACTGCCGAGCTACCTTTTGGTGTTATGTCACCATAATAGAATAGTATAAACATGGCTACATATGGTATGTTGGGAAATGATGCAAAACTTACTTGTTCTTATTCATAGTCCGACTTACTTTTCCGACACTTTTGATTCCTTTCCATAGAGCGAAGTAGACTACCAGAAATACTGCCATCAAACATAACATTATAGGCCACCGTATGCCGCCTATGTCATTTATACCAGTAGACAAATTTATTTGAAGTACCCTCCGCCTGAAACGCATACACATTGTTTGAATTTTACCAGACACCGTACGCCGTACGTTTCAGGTCGTGACCATATTCAAGTTGAAATATTCCGTTATTTTTACCTGAAAAATTCTTCTGCTGATGATTCAGAGAAGTTACTGTGAACAGTTGAGTTTTCATCAGGGAATGCTAGGGAGGTGCAGTTTTCAGTGTTCCACTCGTTATTGCACGTCGCCCAGGGAACCTATTGTTTAGTTAACGATTTCAATTAATGAACAAAGTACTAAATAGTAATACTGTAACATTGGTTGTGATTTCAGACAAGTTATAATTACTGTTTTGTTACATAAGATTTCAATTATGGAGAATAGATCAGGTACGCCGGCGAAGCTTTTGTGATCTGTCGTTTAGTCCATATAGCGAATATGAATTCAATGGATGATGTAGTATTACCTGTGCTTGAAAGCAAGACCCCAGATAAAAGACGGCCCAAGCGATGATAGTGTTGTAATAGATTGCCACGTAGAAAGCACATATACAGATGCCGTACCCTATACCTATAGTGAGACAAAACATATATGTACAGGGTGGGCAAAACGTCCATATTTTTATTTCAATATAACGTTTTTGAAAATGCATGGATTCCAATAAATCTTCGGAGAAATCAATTTTACAATTGAATCTTTAGGGCTTTGGGAAACAAATGTGAAATGACACCTGGGGTCTATTTGAAAAATCAAAAATATCAGAATGTTATTCAAAACAACAATTTTACACTGATATTGGCATATTAGCTAATCAAAATAATTTAAAGAAATAAATGATATTTTTTAAGATTAGTTTTAGGTTCTTAAAAATTATTTCCTACAACTTTTATCATTTGGATATTAAACATCGGTCATTGCAATAGTTATTTCGATCCATTTCTACCAACGTCAATAAGACAATCATCGAAATAGACAGTAACGTAGGAAATATGACAAAGAATCTAATATTCAGTATTTATGCTATCATAAAGACATAAATTCTAGATCAATCTGTTATTATTCATCGGTGTGATTTCGGCGATAAATTCAAACGTCGCCGCAAATCTTGTTTTCGTTTAACTTGGATTAAGTCGGATGAAAGTTGATGAGACAATTTTACCGTGTGATCACTCTACGTAAAAATGTGCTGATGCTCTGTAGTGGTCGGATACATATACACAAATATAGAGTATTATATGCATCATTAAACACCCAGACAGCTATTTGTAGTTTGCAGTTAGCGTAGATGTAGCACACATTTTCCATTGAAAATTACCTAGAATATATTCTGATATAAACACATATAGCTGGTAAATTACTTTTGGAATTCCCTTTGAATTACCTTTAAACATTGGGCATATTCTTGTCCATACGGTGATGCAGCCAGTTCTCTGGAATTGCCCCATTGCCAACTCAAGGTAGAACAATGGAAGGCCTCCAAAAATCAGCATTACGAGGTACGGAATGAGGAACGCCCCTGGAAAATACAACATACATCAACCTCACACAATACGTTAAGGGAATGCCCCTATCTGAAGACAACGGTGGCCATTCAATTATTAAGATGACTAAGAAAGTGAAACCAACCTCCGCCGTTCTTGTAGCAGATATAGGGAAACCGCCAGACGTTCCCAAGGTCCACAGCGAATCCGATGACGGAGAGAAGGAAGTCGAGTTTCTTGCTCCATGTTTCTCTCTCTTCTTCCTGTAATATTTACAACAGACTCATCCTAAGCTATGCGCCCAATCGATCACTTCGTATCACTCTATAAAACTATCTGTCAGTACCCCATCACCCGATCTCTCTGTTTACCCCCTTTTAGTTTAAGTAATTGTAACTGGTAACATGTTGTCCGGTTATACGTAACCCTCAATCATTTTCAGGACTGATCTCCTGTGGATGAGCAAATATTGTGGTTTGGCTAAGTGAACCCATATCATAAGCCCTCGGGGGGGAAAATTCTGTAATAGCACTGTACCTATTCTTACATATAGAGTTACTTATAACCTTTTCATTTTGAAGTCATTTCAACTGAAAAATAGATTAAACAGTTTCTAGACAAACCTTGACATATTAGTAGCCCCGACATGAAGATAATTCGCTTGTTTACCTCATTCCTTTCGTCTAAATTAATACTGTTGTAACCTAATTCCCTTCAAATGTTCTAGAATTGATCTTACGACTGTTGAATTCTAAAATGCATAGATAAGCCCTTTCGAACAATATATTTATTTGGGAAGGAGGTAGTAGCGTTCAAGAGTAGCGAAACGAAAATACAAAAATATACTGATTTTAAAAAAATGTCGGGAAAGGAACTTGGCAGTATCTATCAACACAGATAACTTCATCTACCTGTGTTTTAGGATCAGCATAGGTAACATAATTTACCTGTGTTTTAACATCAACATAGATAACTTCATCTACCTGTGTTTTAACTTCAACATAGGTAACTTCATCTACCTGTGTTTTAACATCAACATAGGTAACTTCATTTACCTGTGTTTTAACTTCAACATAGGTAACTTCATTTACCTGTGTTTTAACATCAACATAGGTAACTTCATTTACCTTTGTTTTAGCATAAACATAGGTAACTTCATATACCTGTGTTTTAACATCAATATAGGTAACTTCATCTACTTGTGTTTTAACATCAACATAGGTAACTTCATCTACTTGTGTTTTAACATCAACATAGGTAACTTCATCTACCTGTGTTTTAACATCAACATAGGTAACTTCATCTACTTGTGTTTTAACATCAACAGAGACTACTTCATCTACTTGTGTTTTACCATCAACATAGGTAACTTCATCTACTTGTGTTTTAACATCAACATAGGTAACTTCATCTACTTGTGTTTTAACATCAACATAGACTACTTCATATACCTGTGTTTTAACATCAACATAGGTACCTTCATCTACCTGTGTTTTAACATCAACATGGGTAACTTCATCTACCTGTGTTTTAGCATCAACATAGGTAACTTCATCTACTTGTGTTTTAACATCAACATAGGTAACTTTATCTACCTGTGTTTTAACATCAACATAGGTAACTTCATCTACCTGTGTTTTAACATCAACATAGGTAGCTCCATCTACCTGTGATTCAGCATCAGCATAGGTAACTTCATCTACTTGTGTTTTAACATCAACATAGGTAACTTCATCTACCTGTGTTTTAACATCAACATAGGTAACTTCATCTACCTGTGCTTTAGCATCAACATAGGTAACTTCATCTACTTGTGTTTTAACATCAACATAGGTAACTTCATCTACTTGTGTTTTAACATCAACATAGACTACTTCATCTACTTGTATTTTACCATCAACATAGGTAACTTCATCTACTTGTGTTTTAACATCAACATAGGTAACTTCATCTACTTGTGTTTTAACATCAACATAGACTACTTCATATACCTGTGTTTTAACATCAACATAGACTACTTCATCTACTTGTGTTTTACCATCAACATAGGTAACTTCATCTACCTGTGTTTTAACATCAACATAGGTAACTTCATCTATCTGTGTTTTAACATCAACATAGGTAACTTCATCTACCTGTGTTTTAGCATCAACATAGGTAACTTCATCTACATGTGTTTTAACATCAACATAGGTAACTTCATCTACTTGTGTTTTAACATCAACATAGGTAACTTTATCTACCTGTGTTTTAACATCAACATAGGTAACTTCATTTACCTGTGTTTTAACATCATCATAGATAACTTCATCTACCTGTGTTTTAACATCAACATAGGTAACTTCATCAACTTGTGTTTTAACATCAACATAGGTAACTTCATCTACTTGTGTTTTAACATCAACATAGGTAACTTTATCTACCTGTGTTTTAACATCAACATAGGTAACTTCATTTACCTGTGTTTTAACATCAACATAGGTAACTTCATTTACCTGTGTTTTAACATCAACATAGGTAACTTCATTTACCTGTGTTTAAACATCAACTTAGGTAACTTCATCTACCTGTGTTTTAACATCAACATAGGTAACTTCATCTACCTGTGTTCCAGTATCAGCATAGGTGACTTCATTTACCTGTGTTTTAACATCAACATAGATTACTTCATTTACCTGTGTTTTAGCATCAACATAGGTAACTTCATTAACGTGTGTTTTAACATCAACATAGGTAACTTCATTTACCTGTGTCTTAACTTCAACATAGGTAACTTCATTTACCTGTGTTTTAACATCAACATAGGTAACTTCATTTACCTTTGTTTTAGCATAAACATATATTACGATCATTTACCTGTGTTTCAGCATCAGCATAGGTAACTTTATCTACTTGTGTTTTAACATCAACATAGGTAACTTCATTTACCTGTGTTTTAACATCAACATAGGTAACTTCATTTACCTGTGTTTTAACATCAACATAGGTAACTTCATCTACTTGTGTTTTAACATCAACATAGGTAACTTCATCTACTTGTGTTTTAACATCAACATAGGTAACTTCATTTACCTGTGTTTTAACATCAACATAGGTAACTTCATTTACCTGTGTTTTAACATCAACATAGGTAACTTCATCTACTTGTGTTTTAACATCAACATAGGTAACTTCATATACCTGTGTTTTAACATCAACATAGGTAACTTCATTAACCTGTGTTTTAACTTCAACATAGGTAACTTCATCTACTTGTGTTTTAACATCAACATAGGTAACTTCATCTACTTGTGTTTTAACATCAACATAGGTAACTTCATTTACCTGTGCTTTAGCATAAACATAGATTACGATCATTTACATGTGTTTTAACATCAACATAGGTAACTTCATCTACCTGTGTTTTAACATCAACATAGGTAACTTCATTTATCTGTGTTTTAACATCAACATAGGTAACTTCATTTACCTGTGTTTTAACATCAACATAGGTAACTTCATTTACCTGTGTTTTACCATCAACATAGGTAACTTCATTAACCTGTGTTTCAGCAGCAGCATAAGTAACTTCATCTACTTGTGTTTTACCATCAACATAGGTAACTTCATTTACCTGTGTTTCAGCATCAGCATAGGTAACTTCATCTACTTGTGTTTTACCATCAACATAGGTAACTTCATTTACCTGTGCTTTAGCATAAACATAGATTACGATCATTTACCTGTGTTTTAACATCAACATAGACTACTTCATCTACTTGTGTTTTACCATCAACATAGGTAACTTCATCTACTTGTGTTTTAACATCAACATAGGTAACTTCATTTACCTGTGTTTCAGCATCAACATAGGTAACTTCATTTACCTGTGTTTTACCATCAACATAGGTAACTTCATCTACCTGTGTTTCAGCATCAACATAGGTAACTTCATTTACCTGTGTTTTAGCATCAACATAGGTAACTTCATTTACCCGTGTTTTAACATCAACATAGGTAACTTCATTTACCTGTGTTTTAGCATCAGCATAGGTGACTTCATTTACCTGTGCTTTAGCATAAACATAGATTACGATCATTTACCTGTGTTTAAACATCAACATAGGTAACTTCATCTACCTGTGTTTTAACATCAACATAGGTAACTTCATTTACCTGTGTTTTAACATCAACATAGGTAACTTCATTTACCTGTGTTTTAACATCAACATAGGTAACTTCATTTACCTGTGTTTTAACATCAACATAGGTAACTTCATTTACCTGTGTTTTAACATCAACATAGGTACCTTCATTTACCTGTGTTTTAGCATAAACATAGGTAACTTCATATACCTGTGTTTTAACATAAACATAGGTAACTTCATTTACCTGTGTTTTAACATCAACATAGGTAACTTCATTTACCTGTGTTTTAACATCAACATAGGTAACTTCATTTACCTGTGTTTTAACATCTACATAGGTAACTTCATTTACCTGTGTTTTAACATCAACATAGGTAACTTCATTTACCTGTGTTTTAACATCAACATAGGTAACTTCATTTACCTGTGTTTTAACATCAACATAGGTAACTTCATTTACCTGTGTTTTAACATCAACATAGGTAACTTCATTTACCTGTGTTTTAGCATAAACATAGGTAACTTCATTTACCTGTGTTTTAACATCAACATAGGTAACTTCATTTACCTGTGTTTTAGCATAAACATAGGTAACTTCATTTACCTGTGTTTTAACATCAACATAGGTAACTTCATTTACTTGTGTTTTAACATCAACATAGGTAACTTCATTTACCTGTGTTTTAACATCAACATAGGTAACTTCATTTACCTGTGTTTTAACATCAGCATAGGTAACTTCATCTACTTGTGTTTTACCATCAACATAGGTAACTTCATTTACCTGTGTTTCAGCATCAACATAGGTAACTTCATTTACCTGTGTTTTACCATCAACATAGGTAACTTCATCTACCTGTGTTTCAGCATCAGCATAGGTAACTTCATCTACTTGTGTTTTAACATCAACATAGATAACTTCATTCACCTGTGTTTTAGCATCAGCATAGGTGACTTCATTTACCTGTGTTTTAACATCAACATAGGTAACTTCATTAACCTGTGTTTCAGCATCAACATAGGTAACTTCATTTACCTGTGTTTTACCATCAACATAGGTAACTTCATCTACCTGTGTTTCAGCATCAACATAGGTAACTTCATTTACCTGTGTTTTAACATCAACATAGGTAACTTCATTTACCTGTGTTTTAACTTCAACATAGGTAACTTCATTTACCTGTGTTTTAGCATAAACATAGGTAACTTCATATACCTGTGTTTTAACATCAACATAGGTAACTTCATATACCTGTGTTTTAACATCAACATAGGTAACTTCATCTACCTGTGTTTTAACATCAACATAGGTAACTTCATTTACCTGTGTTTTAACATCAACATAGGTGACTTCATCTACGTGTGTTTTAACATCAACATAGGTAACTTCATTTACCTGTGTTTTAACATCAACATAGGTAACTTCATATACCTGTGTTTTAACATCAACATAGATTACTTCATTTACCTGTGTTTTAACTTTAACATAGGTAACTTCATTTACCTGTGTTTTAGCATAAACATTGGTAACTTCATATACCTGTGTTTTAACATCAACATAGGTAACTTCATATACCTGTGTTTTAACATCAACATAGGTAACTTCATCTACCTGTGTTTTAACATCAACATAGGTAACTTCATTTACCTGTGTTTTAACATCAACATAGGTGACTTCATCTACGTGTGTTTTAACATCAACATAGGTAACTTCATTTACTTGTGTTTTAACATCAACATAGGTAACTTCATTTACCTGTGTTTTAACATCAACATAGGTAACTTCATCTACTTGTGTTTTAACATCAACATAGGTAACTTCATTTACCTGTGTTTTAACATCAACATAGGTAACTTCACCTACTTGTGTTTTAACATCAACATAGGTAACTTTATCTACCTGTGTTTTAACATCAACATAGGTAACTTCATTTACCTGTGTTTTAACATCAACATAGGTAACTTCATCTACCTTTGTTTTAGCATCAGCATAGGTGACTTCATTTACCTTTGTTTTAGCATAAACATAGATAACTTCATTTACCTGAGCATCTGTTTCTGCAAGGGGCGCTTCAGAATCCGTTAAATGTGGCTTTCCATCTTTTATTATCACTTCCGGTGCCATTGTCCCGACGTCATATGGCGGGGGTAGTGATGCAACTTGACGTTCTAGCACGGGGCTTTTGTTCAACTGTTGCGTCTCTCTCTTCAATCCAAATGGCTCGCTTCCCTGCCGGCGAAAAGGCCGAGCTGGCGGCCCGAAAGCCGAAGTGTCACTCCTTCTGTGTCTGCTGATCCCACTAGGCGGTATTGAATGCTTGATACTAGCGCATGAAGTTTGTAGCGCCATCTAACACCAACGCATCCATCGCGCTCCTTCCTGCTCCTTACCTTCCAAGTGCTTTCATCGCTCTGCCCACCGGGACATTCCTTGTCAGCGCCCCTGACTAAGTCCGGGAAAGGAAGAAAGGATATTTCCCAGCATTCAAAATATATCATTTCTTGCAACTGGTTGACACAAAAGTATCTAGTTTACTGGGAAGATATACGTGCTGTGGCATCACCGATCAAACTCAAATTATTTGCTAAGTCTGCCATTTATGTATAATCCTGATTCTTGATTGCTTGCATAATTAGGATGCATTTTTAGGAACTGATGATAAAATAAATGCTCCCTAGTCCTGCCTATTAGACTAGTGTCTCTCGAGGATTAAAGGGATAACACTTTACCCTCGCAAACAGACTTGGAAACACTTTTATCCCTGCATAGAAATATATGATATAAATGTAAATTTAATATAATATATCGATAAAAATCGATGAATCATATAGTATAATATTTAGCAGTTATGTCCCTATCATTGAATATATGCCTGAGGTCTTTCATTAATGTAGCCCGAGCTTGCGAAGGCTATATTACGATAGACTGAGGGCATTTATATATTCAATGATACGGACATAATAACATTAAGCTCGGGGGGTACTCCCATTTATTGGCTATATGGGGACGTGCCGCTAAAGTGGGTCACTTTTTCACCGAAAAATCCCTAGATGTGGGTCCCATTTTGAAGGAAAACCCCTAGATATGGGTCCCATTTTGATGAAAAAATCCCTAGAACTGGGTCTACTTTTTGAAAAAATCCCAAAACTGGGTACTGTTTTTGAAAAAAATCGCCGAAAGTGGGTCTTGTTTTTTTTAAATTACCTTGAAGTGGGTCTATTTTTGAAAGAAAAACCTTAGATGTGGGTCCATTTTAGAGAAAGAAATCCCTAGATGTGGGTAGATATTTTGAGTCTCAGCGGCACCCCCTGTACAAAAGTTTGACCAGTACCCCCCCCCCCCCCCCCCCCCCCCCCCCCGGCTTCAGCTCCATTGACATCCATACAAATGCTTCGCTAGGTATGTAATACAATATTATATTGTATTGTAGTAATGATTCATCGATTTTGGAAATGAAACAAATACAAAATGGGCCAAAACCTTCATAAACTATATTTTAATAAGCCATGGATTCCAAAAACGTTATGATATAGATGTATGAGTGCAAAATGAGTTCCAAAATATAGCTTCAAATGACCAGTTATAATATGGCAAACGATTTTAGACGGTCATATCTTTTATTATGAGTACTTTTCTAAAAATATGACATTTCTCATTAACACAATATGTTATCTTTCAAGTAAATCATTAAGGATAATAAAAAAATATCAATCGAATAATTCGAAAAATCATGGATAGGAACCATGTCAACATTTTATTCAATATATATTTAATATATTTTTCCTGTATGAAACTGATGATTCTTTCCTGTAAATAAAAAAATGCCAATGGTATAACGTCTCTTAAAGACTAACTTTTAACCAATACTGTGTTGTAAAATTGTAAAATGTATGTTTACCATGTAACTGTGCTGTAATTGTTTTTTGCAATTGCTTTAACATGCTTATTCTTTGAATAATTATTCAAAATGTTAACCTGAAAACAAAAGGGATCTTCTTTTCTGATTTTTATTGCATGAAAAGATTTTCATTGACAGAGTAATGATTTGATGGAATACAAATGGCAAGATAATGTTTTGATAATGTTTTGATAATGTTTTGGCTCACCCTGATATTTAGTACTCTTCATTCTATTTTAGCACTAAATGTGATATTTAGTACTCTTCATTCTATTTTAGCACTAAATGTGATATTCAATACTCTTCATTCTATTTTAGCACTAGATGTGATATTTAGTACTCTTCATTCTATTTTAGCACTAGATGTGATATTTAGTACTCTTCATTCTATTTTAGCACTAAATGTGATATTTAGTACTCTTCATTCTATTTTAGCACTAGATGTGATATTTAGTACTCTTCATTCTATTTTAGCACTAGATGTGATATTTAATATTTAATACTCTTCATTCTATTTTAGCACTAGATGTGATATTTAGTACTCTTCATTCTATTTTAGCACTAGATGTGATATTCAATACTCTTCATTCTATTTTAGCACTAGATGTGATATTTAGTACTCTTCATTCTATTTTAGCACTAGATGTGATATTTAGTACTCTTCATTCTATTTTAGCACTAAATGTGATATTTAGTACTCTTCATTCTATTTTAGCACTAAATGTGATATTTAATATTTAGTACTCTTCATTCTATTTTAGCACTAAATGTGATATTTAGTACTCTTCATTCTATTTTAGCACTAGATGTGATATTTAATATTTAATACTCTTCATTCTATTTTAGCACTAAATGTGATATTTAGTACTCTTCATTCTATTTTAGCACTAGATGTGATATTTAGTACTCTTCATTCTATTTTAGCACTAAATGTGATATTTAGTACTCTTCATTCCATTTTAGCACTAAATGTGATATTTAGTGCTCTTCATTCTATTTTAGCACTAGATGTGATATTTAATATTTAGTACTCTTCATTCTATTTTAGCACTAGATGTGATATTTAGTACTCTTCATTCTATTTTAGCACTAAATGTGATATTTAGTACTCTTCATTCTATTTTAGCACTAAATGTGATATTTAGTACTCTTCATTCTATTTTAGCACTAATTGTGATATTTAGTACTCTTCATTCTATTTTAGCACTAAATGTGATATTTAGTACTCTTCATTCTATTTTAGCACTAAATGTGATATTTAATATTTAGTACTCTTCATTCTATTTTAGCACTAAATGTGATATTATAAAGTCAATGAATCCATGAACTAACTGCATACTCTTAAAGATGTCCAATTCAAAACAGTAACTCAGTCTACTCTTATGGAAAGATGAATGAGTAATATTGAAAATACCGTCCCAACTATTAAAAAATAAATAAATAAAAATAAATATAAAATCCCCTATGTCCACAAAACAGTGAGTCAACGCTGGTGTATTACAAATCAAGCTTCATTCATTGTGAACGTATTCAATATAATGTGTTTGAGGTATATAAGTCTTGCCTTTGTTAAAGTCTGCCCAAAAAGATTTAATAGCCTTTGAGGAAGACGAGGCGTATTGGCGTCCTTTAAGAAATATCAAATATATCTTATATTGTAAGATATAAGAGTTTACAACGCATACGAAAGTTTTGGTTCAACAAGGCATACTACGTTACAGTGTACACTCCCCTCCATAATTTTGGCAACCTTAGCTCCCCCATTGAACTACTTGTTAAAGCCCCTTTACCGTTGCATTTTTGTTATTCAATTTTTTCCTCAATTACAATAAGTCGAAAATTGATGATTAATTTTTGAAAATCGACATTCCCATGTTAACCAATGGGAAATGGTAGGTTTGCCGCAAATCATATGACAGAATATCCATCCACCAGAGTCCTTGCAAAAATACGAGTTAGGCAGGCAATTGAATTTGCTAACTTTATTTAACAAAAGATTAATATGTTTCTTCAGGTTTTACAAAGTTATAGGGCTTTAAAGTCAAAATTGTTTTTCAAAAAACCTCTCCCATTGAAATAACACAGGAGGCGAAAAATTATTTTCAAAAATGACTTTGAAGCGCTGTAACTTTAGTATTCATCAAATAAACTAAACACTTAGTGTACATAAAAGTTCATCCTCCGATCACAGGGCTTCAAAATCCAGAATATCTTCTTTCTTTTTACCCCCTGCTATAACCAAGTTGGACGCGCCCGATTGAAACTGAATCACGTGATCTTATTATGCGCCGATGACGTATACATGATATCTGTCGCAGTGTTGCGACAGCCAATCAAATTGCGAGTTCTTAATCGGGGAAATGCTAACTGCTTATAGCAGGGGGAAGAAGGAGGTACGGATTCTAGACACCTGCTTAGGAGGATGATAAAAGTTAGACAATTCAATTCTCTGAATCTTTTGCTGAATCTTTTACTGAAAAGATATCCCGATTTCTGATTTGCCCCGAACCCTCCATTTCCCATTGGATTACATGGGAATGACGATTTTCTAAAATTCATCAAATTCATCATCAATTTTCGACCTATTGTATTTGAGGAAAAAATGGAGAAAATTTGGAGGTATTGGAAATAAAGTCAAGTTACGAATTCCATCAATATTATAAACTTTTTCATCGCCGGTTAAGTAAATAAAAATTCAAAGGTAAAGAGGCTTTAACATGTAGTTCAATGGGGGAGCTAAGGTTGCCAAACTTATGGAGGGGAGTGTACCTACGATCACAGGTATACAACTACCTAAAGGTTTATAATTCATCTTATAATTTCAAATATTTGAATTTCCCGCCATTTTTGAAACGAAGGTTTAGAAACTGTGAAACACATTGTTTTCTTTATTTTATTGGATAGATCATGCCCGAGATCGGGCACGGCTAGAATTATTTCAACCATTTTAAATTAATGATTTATTATATATAAACTTTTAAAGCATTTTAAAAAGTGTGTGAAGACATGAGGATACGCTGTAATGTCAATCAGATAGAAATATATTTTAAAAATCGAACGAATATTTTATAAATATGCTAAACTTTCAAAATAAAGCTAGATATGTTCATCATGTTTTATATATATATATATTTCTTTATTGCGACCAATTCTGATCATATACATATAGTTTAACATAAAAGGTTATAAAAGGTTATGAAGAAAAAACATACAAAAATATAACAAAATATACAGTAGTTGTTTAGTGCAGGACGTTTAGAGAATTGAGAAATCTAGTTCTCAGTTGGTACATATGATACACTGTCCTGGCTATTATAATACAATCATCATATTCATTTGGGGCAAAAATATTTTCAATTACATTTATGTCACTTCCGCCTAAGTAAGGTCGTATAGGATCTCTAATTGTTTCCAGCACATCACAAAACTTAATAAAATGTAACAAAGATTCATGCGAATTACACATTGGGCATACCCTATTCACATTTGGCTCGGTATGACGACCAACACCTTCACCAACCAGTAGTCTCACCATAAGTTTACATTTGAATATCATTTCAGGTTTGTATTTACATAGCTGGTACCAGACTATTGGAGTACGAGTAGTTACTACTTCTCTATAATGTTTGATTTTATTATATGTCATACATTGAAAACGCCATCTTTGCAGAGACTTTGTAAGAACAGAACTTTTCACTATCTTTTTCCAGTGCCACTTGGATGGAAATGTGTTATTAGAAATATAGCTATCCATTCTTCCTATAAGATCATATTGCATTCCAAGTTGTATAATTTCCCTAATTGGTGATGAAACTGTTACAGCACATTTATCTACGAAGAAGCTATATAGTATAGCATACCATCTAAAGATGCTTAACTTCTTACAAATACCAACACTAGTATTAAAGATGTGCCAGAAATACATGAGCTTCCTGATTGCAATAGTTTCGCTTATACCTGTCCAACCAAGTTGAGCAATCGCGGCACAATCAGTTGTGTTCTTTGGAAGAGATTGAATTGACCTGGCCGAATTGGCATGCACCTTTTCTAAAGTTTTAATATTTGATACATTATAATTTAATACCTCGACACCATATAGCATGGTAGGAATTGAAACAGTCCAATATAAATTAGAAGCAGGTAGGGGATTTACGCTACACTTTTCGGGGGTGACACAGTCTACAGTGGCATAGAAATTGCGCCTTGCCCTAGATGTTACATTGTCTAAGTGATAGGCTATATCCCGCTGTGTAACTGGTAACCCAAGATGAACAAGGTCTTTGTTTATCGGAATCTTAGCGGATCCGAAATCAAAAGGTTGGACATCTTTAAAACTACTTCTAGTAAAGTGAACTGCTGCACATTTCCCTGGATGGATCTCAAATCTCCATCTATTTGCATAATTATAAAGAATGTGCAGCATTTCTTGCATGCTATGTCTGAACATTGATACCAGTATGGTGTCATCTGCGTACGATGGAGCAACACAGTTTATCCCCCGTACCTGACATCCATGTCCAGAGCTCTCTAATTCTAATAACAAAGGGTTCATGAATCTTACATACAATTCCATAGAAAGGACCCCACCTTGGTGGACCCCTTGTTGAACATAAAATAAATTACTTAATATACCATTGACCTTAACACAGCAACGATATCCTACATATGTCTCATAGATAATTTTCCACAATTTTCCGTTGATACCCTGATTATATAACAAAAACATCAAGCCATTTGTAAAAACCGTATCAAATGCCTTTTTCACGTCAATTGCCAAAACATAGGCATCTGAGCCATTTTCAAGTTGATGGGCAACTGTTTCCCTAAGGACAAGGGAGGTGTCAATACAAGATGACCCTGACTGTGCTGCATATTGAAGTTTTGACCTATTAAAATGATCACAACATTTGCTACGGTTTAAAATCAACCTATCTAATATCTTACTATATGTACTCATTAGAGTTATTCCCCGGTGGTTATCTTTATCAAGAACATCCTTGTTACCACCTTTATACAGTGTTATCATAACTCCTACTTTTAAACTACTTGGTACATGTTCATACTTAAAAATAGCATCAAAAATCGCAGTTAAAATATTAATAAGTGCCATTCCACCATATTTAAGATGCTCAGATGATACACCGTCCATACCACTAGCACGTCTGTTATTTAAATATTAATAAATGCATTTTATCGTTATAGAAAAGATAACTGTTTTGCTATGATTTAAAATTACTATATATTTTCCTTGAATTAAAAACTCATGAGTACATTTTCAATACGTTACTTTGATGTAAAGCTGATACAAGAAATGCGCTGTAGGCCGAACAAAAGACATTCCATTTTATCTTTGCAAATATCTAGCTTTTGTCGGTCATAAAGTCAATAACATTTAATATTCTCTAAATATAAAACATAATATTTCTAAACAAAGCGTATTCCTAAATCCACTTGAGTATATGTACTTATTTCTGAATGCCTTCAATAGAGGCCACTTAAATTGAACTGTAAGTAAATATATCTAGGTGTCAAATGCGCATGCGTGAGATAAATTAACGTCTAAGTTTAAGTGAAGGTGTTATCTATACCTTAACTTCGTGGTATTTTGATGCCCAAAATAAACCAGGAGGTTACAGTGTGTTAGCACAGAGCATCATCATCTACAGGGTTGTTGCAGTAAGGAATACGGGAACATAGCGGCTGAGTTCAGGTAAGTCTGTTTTTAACTTTCATTCAATCTTACAAAGTTTATAATACAGTTTACATGTTACTACTTATCATTTAAAGTAAGTACATGAACTTAGAGTACATACTCAGTATTTTGAGATATAGTGTCTAGATATTGATATGAAATGATTTATGAATAACGGTTGAGAATGAGATCATTTCGTTTATCTCAATTCATTAGAGTTTTATATTATTAAACTATTTCGGACAGCTACAACTGTATGATTTTATTGAAAGTGGATTTTCGTTAATATTCACCCCCCCCCCCCCTTATAATCAGTAATTCATGGGTATGTTACAGCTTTATGGGAATTTGGTTTATTCTTGAAATACACTGAAAAAGAATAAGGGGTTACCCTTATTACTGATCATGATTACTAAGGTTAGGGTCCCTTAGGGATGGACGGCACGGACACCCTATGGTCATCTGATAGCCTAAAGCTTACATTCATCATACTAACTGAAGGTAGCAAACATCAATATGGACGTTCTCACCAGGTTTATACACATGATGTACATATACCTGCAGATGGAGTACGTTATCTAGACTAACTAGTACTTGCTGTGTGTAGCCAAGTTTGTCTACGATTAATTACAGTAAGTTACATGAACATGGCGAATGGTCCAAGGTACATATGGTACACAAAAGTTGGGGTATTTTAATTAAAAGTAAAATACATTTAATTTTCATATTATTGTGTACCTGTTTTCAGGTAGCCTTAAACACAATAGTTTGATGAAATTTTTAAAGTTGTCGGTTGAGCTCCGGTGGTTGGACCAGCACTTAAAATGTTCACTTACAACAGTGTTCAAGGCAACGGATAAGTGAGATTAACCCTTGGTCTCCTAGATACCACCTTTATTTCTTTTTTAATTGCTGGTTAATGTCGAGACGTTAAAGTCAACTTAACCTCGGTGATCTCTTCAGTTTACACATTAACGGACAGTGATACATGTAGTACATGTGGATTGCAATGCCATGTATTTGAATGGTATAATCTCTGCATTTCTATAAATGTCTAAGTTGACTCAACAACTTATTCTTAACTCTAACAAATAAAGTCAACAAAGACTGACGTACTTGATGGGAACCATTATATTACGTCTGAATACAGCAATCGTGTTTACATATTGCGAACATATTTATTAGGTGAAATATGTGTTTCTGTGTTTGTTTGTACTGATATAATAATGAATATTTAAAAAATCACTCGTCAATTCCAATGAAGTTGGCCAATCATATTTTGTTGGATTAATCCAATATGAACTTGTCAGTCACCCTCTTGAATCATTTATTGTAGTCCTATATGTCATTACAACGAACCATTCTCTATTTTGGGGTATGTGAGTTAGATCATGGTTTGGGATATTGTTATCCTTGTCATCCATATATCTATATAACTGGTTGTACAGTTTTAGTTGTTTCTCTTTCTTGGTTTGGTTTATCATCAGATCATTTCTCATTTTTGGCACCTACGCTTACATATTTACATTAAACTCATTACACTAAATTCAAAACTTAACACGATTGACAAGTAGAAGAAGAATTTTGCAAATTTTGTTAAGTTTGTGCCAAAAAATAAGGAACAGAAACGATGTTTTCTATCACATATACTATTCGTTATATAGCCTTGCCCAAGTCGGTATTTTTTACTTATCTGATCTTGAATTATTACCGCCGGTCATAATAGAAATCAAGATAAGTAAAAGTGACTTGGGCAAGGCTATTCGTTATACTATGTTTGGAAAATAATGCTGCGTAATTCCGAACGCTATCTCGTTTCTAACAATGTAAGGTTATTTAGTGTACGGCGTCTGACTAATCCCAAGATGAAAGATGAGTCTTACATAAAGGAAAGCCTGTTAGGCTTATCTTGTTTCAACGATATTATCCTGGTCGGGTCAAAACAATTCATTTTCTTTTGGATTTACATGAATGGTACCTGATATCAGTCTATCAAATTTAGAAATTCATCCCATGTTTGCTTTTCACACTGGTGTTTTCATTTGCTTCTATTTCCCGTTCCCCTCACAATATATTATAGTGAGCCAAGTGCCTCCTTCGGCATCCAGCGGTTGCTGCAATTTCAGTTTGCTTGTTAGGGTGACTTGTGATAAGCTGCTTCAGACAGCTTTAAAAATAGCTGCCTTACTCGTGGAAACATTCTACACAACCGTTCCTCGTTTTCTCTTCACTTTAAATGTCTGACAAAGAGGGCTGTATATAAGAGTCAGACACGATGGAGTTTATGTTTCGAAATATGGAATATGCAGAAAATTAGATTTTCCGTTCATATTGTAGAGAACGAATTTATGGAGGGACTATATTATCCAGGGGTTCTGTTCTCGTCCCCGACAAAACATGATTGCAACTGTGCATGTGTATTTATACATCAGGCATCCTTACAGATTGTAGAAGGGGAGATCATATTGCATGCACCTTATGCTTGCCTCAACTGACGCACCCCCCCCCCTTTCTGGAATCACTGGACGCAACTCCTAATGACTGACTGTATATATTAATATACTTTTATTACCTTTCTCTTTTACTATGCAAGGCCCATCTCCACTACACTCTTTGTGGATATGAAGTGCAGTGGAGGAGTCGAAGGGGCTTGCTGCAAGACTACAATGCAATGATAAAATATTATGTTTTGGGTGTACTTTTGTTCGTCTCACCTGGGATGAAGAAAAAGTATAGACCATCTTGAATTAGTGGTACTAGTACTCGCTATTCACATGGCCTATTCCACAGTGTATTCCTACTCAGGTGAAGTTTATAATTATGCGACCTGTCATCGCAGTGTTAATTTAAATTGTTTTGCTTAAAGATGTAGGTAAAACCTTTAATTAGTGGACATAAAATGGACAGGACGTCTATTGTTTTTGTACTTAAACCATAGCATGTTGGTAACAAGGTGACTAGACAAGAGTATTGCAAAGGCAAAGCAATTCATCTAAAACCCGCGATATTATACAGTATAGCTCCTAGTGTCATTCGGGTCAAAATCTCCTGAAAATTAGGAAAAAAGAAATATACAATTTTCGTACTTTTCATGTAGTGAGTTTGGCCGTTTTACATTTTTGGTTCATCATTTCACTTAAAATATCTCCATTAGGAACCTGAATTTGCAGTCGATCTTAGTTTTATTGTCCATAAAGATACAACTAAATAACCAACTTAACTACAGAGCCTGACATTTAACTCAAACATTACATTTGCATGCACATATTTGATAGTCCTGTACCTTTTCTTAAATAGATATACTCCATAAATTAAATGAAACTAAACTAAGGATTTGGAACAGATTTGGTTCAACATGTAAACATATTTACAAAGAGGCTTAAATATGACCATGTGGTAGTTTATACAGGTATACTACAAATGATTCCGCGATGAGATAACACAGAAAATATGTTAAATCCGACAATGGATGTTACTTTTAAGCTATTAATAGAAAACTGATTCACTGAAGCTAACGTCGTCCAGATGCTCTTAAAACAGATAATCCCGATTTTCATGAAACCTTCGCATTCAGATTTAATAAACTAAGTAATGGACAATCGTGTGGTAATATCACATGATCTAGCTTCAAGCTACCATGTGAAATTCAGCGAATCAAAATTTTCCAGATCGCACGCAATATTTTTATCGCTATACCTCACTTGGAAAATAAATAAACTAACATTTCTAAATGAGAACTCATGTCTGAAGCATTCAATACTCCTATCTCCTACTTCAACTAGTACCCAGTCCAGCATTTCTCCTTATTTCAGTCCCATTTTGCAATATGATGGGATTTCATGCATTTCCCCCTTGATAATTACTTGTAGCGTAAAACTAAATGATGCATGAACAAATTTCTGAAGAAATCTTTTGATTTTAACGTAAAAAGTCAACATGTTATTCCGTATCACCTCCATTGACGTCATTGACAATCTTAAAGATCTAAACCTGTAAACAGAAAACTCTATTATTAGCATCAACCACTGTTCTACCAGATGTAAACAGCTACTCATTGGAAGAAATATATCATGCCATACAATTGAAAAGGAATGAAAATGAACGTTTACACGAAATTGCAGATATTTTTTCTGACCTTTGTCTGACCCAATATGTCGATGGTCCTAAACTTGTGAAGTCGGGTATAATTAATAATAATGTGAAATATGAGCATCTTTATTCAGATGGAAGCACAATATTGAAGAATTTGAGTGAAAGGCAAGTGAACATTTCGGAATATGTGGGATCCGGGACTGGGGGAGAATTAAGCATCATGTTATGAACTTCACTTTTGTCAATGTCAGCATTTGGGCAGTATCCCTTACAGTGTGATGTCAATGTCGAATACTAATCTGGCCGATACGGTGGATAAGTGAATGCAAAAACACACAATTTATAAATGGCTTATATTTTCAGCAGCCTGCCAAGAAACCGATCGGTCTACCTCCTACCCACTGATCTCCATCATCAAAAAGTCCAGAAAGGAAACTTCATTTCTCGATCTCCGGATCAGTGGATACTTTCGAGCTTTTGGGATTCTTCATGATTTAGCTGGATACTTCAACCGCTGCACAATATTGGGGGACCAATGACCCTTCAATAAACCACTTTTGGTAAGTACTTCATGCTTTTGTTTTGGAAATAGCCTCTGATCGTCAGGGTCATTTGACACGTTACGTGATGCAGTCACATTTCCAACTAAGACTAATATGGTTTTCTGCTAATGAATATATTAACTTCAATCGCAAACACGCTAATACGATGTGAATGTGCATGTACTTTAACAACATTGAATCGTGTCCTCGGGTCAGTGTCCATCGTCTTGATGTGTTTTCAAGTTTTCTCTCGACGTGTCATTTGCACAGACTTCGAAAAATAATCCCTTCTCGTCCTCATTAATCCATAGTCATTTACTACTATTATATCAGGACGGTCCTGTCATGGTTGTTGGTTGTTGGGTTGTTGGTTGTGACGTTTTTGTGATGCCATTTTAGATGCTATATAAAATTATAAGAAGTATAAGAGAAATTAACATGGACCAGGGAAATTGGACGTTGATGTGTCAGGAGTTAAAACCAGACCCCCCCCCCCCCCCCAGGGCCCCTTCTTCCCTTCTTGTATGTTAATATTTTTGAGGTTAACATCATAACAATAGAAGTAGGTAATATACATTGAGAACACGTTTGTGAGTACGTAACAAAACCAACATTGTTCATGTGATTCACGCGTCTTGTTCATCTGCCAAATGCCACAGCGATGATTTGTGTTTTCTTCATTAACACACATTTTCCTTACACTTTGCATTCGTTCGACTTCACTTCTTAAAAGAGAGCTTCTTCTTCGGGTAGTTTATAACGAGACTCATTCGCAGGGTACACTATTATCTTTGTCTGAAGACATCGGCTTTTCAGTAATTAATATAGGGACTGAAATTATGAAGGAATACATAAGCAAGCCGGGAAATACCATTGAAACTGAAAATGCCAAATATCTGGCGGCGGTTCATACATTGTTTACATTTCGAAATAAATGAATCGAAGTGGAATAAGTATGTCCGATGTGACCGTCAAGGTGACAATGTTGGCAACGTAACGTTTCAAGTCAAAGTCTCGTCAGATATTTAAATAGCACATTTAAAGGAGGAGATCTAGAACAAAATAAATCACGATATTTTTGGAGAAATGAGACATCCATTTGATTAAAATAATTTATCATCCTAATTCTAATCCAATTACCCAGTTGGGTTATGCAATAGCATGAAACACTGCTACTACATGTATGTTTATTTCCAAACCTTAAGATAAATGCAAGTTACAGCATTAATCATTTTAAGCATTAATCATATATTTAGTACTACACCTACATACAATGATTCACTTATAGTCAGTGTAACTATGAATCTCTCCCATGAAAGTCAGAGACTCGTAAGCAAATTGGAAAGTGTATGAAAAGAGAAAAAAGAGAAGTAAAACAGGAAAATGCTGACTGGGAACAACAAGTACAAAGACTAGCTTGTGTAAATTGAAGAAAAGTAGAAATCAGAAACTTGTGGCTTGGTTAATGTGATGAAAGCTTTTGTCATTGAAATTGTATTACCACATTCGCAATATAGCCATATTGGCAATACCCTTTACAAGAGTTACAAGATAGACTAATCGACACTCTTTCAATAATCGAGCTTTACCAATTCAGATGAACTAGATGAACAACGGCCAGCCAATCAGGATTGTATTCATTGAGCTTTCACTATTCATAATTTATTGGCATTTATTTCATTTTCAAACTCAAATGTCATGATAGCTTCTTTAGGGCCATTAACATCTTATCAGTAATGTACATTTGTCCATTGATCCTAGTCGTGATCAGAGTATGGTATTGCATTACTTCTAGCCTCAGTGTAAGAGTGTGGTATTGCATTACTTCTAGCCTCAGTGTAAGAGTGTGGTATTGCATTACTTTTTGCCTCAGGGTAAGAGTGTGGTATTGCATTACTTTTTGCCTCAGGGTAAGAGTGTGGCATTGCATTACTTCTAACCTCAGGGTAAGAGTGTGGTATAACATTTGTTCTAACCTCAGGGTAAGAGTGTGGTATTGCATTACTTCTAACCTCAGGGTAAGAGTGTGGTATAACATTTGTTCTAGCCTCAGAGTAAGAGTGTGGTATTGCATTACTGCAAGCCTCAGGGTAGGAGTGTGGTATAACGTTTGTTCTAGCCTCGGGGTAAGAGTGTGGTATTGCATTAGTTTTAACCTCAGGGTAAGAGAATGGTAAATGCAAGCCTCAGGGTAGGAGTGTGGTATAACGTTTGTTCTAGCCTCAGGGTAAGAGTGTGGTATTGCATTACTGCAAGCCTCAGGGTAGGAGTGTGGTATAACGTTTGTTCTAGCCTCAGGGTAAGAGTGTGGTATTGCATTACTTCTAGCCTCAGGGTAAGAGTGTGGTATTTTTCACTTCTAGTCTCAGGGTAAGAGTGTGGTATTGCATTACTTCTAGCCTCGGGGTAAGAGTGTGGTATTGCATTACTTCTAGCCTCGGGGTAAGAGTGTGGAATTGCATTACTTCTAGCCTCAGGGTAAGAGTGTAGTATTGTATTGCTTCTAGCCTCAGAGTAAGAGTGTGGTATTGCATTGTTGCCTCAGGGTAACAGAATAATTGCTGATCACAGAGACAATTAACTAAGCAGAGAGGTAACACAAAATATAAGGATTTGGATACACTGACTCAGAAGCAACTTCGGTATTTGGCAATTAATGTGAAAAGAGAAACAGCAGGAGAAAGGAGGTTATCTAGAAAATGCCATAGTCTTTGGAAGTACATTATGAGATAAAAATAAAGATAAACTGCATACCAAACACAAACGTTAAGGTAAGCAATGTAATGTAGGACAAATGGTATAATTTACATATGACCAATATATGAGCAATGGTGTATTCACTGTTCCACAGCTGGATGATTCTAACTGCAGTTAGCGTCATTCAAGATGGTTACTGGAATTGATGAAACGTACAGGAAATATGATGTGAAATGTTCAAGACATATTACCGATATTGTTGACTCTATGACCAATGATGAAACGTACAGGACATATTATGTGAAATGTTCAAGACATATTACCGATATTGTTGACTCTATGACCAATGATGAAACGTACAGGACATATTATGTGAAATGTTCAAGACATATTACCGATATTGTTGACTCTATGACCAATGATGAAACGTACAGGACATATTACCGATATTGTTGACTCTATGACCAATGATGAAACGTACAGGACATATTATGTGAAATTTTCAAGACATATTACCGATATTGTTGTCTATATGACCAATGATGAAACGTATAGGACATATTATGTGAAATGTTCAAGACATATTACCGATATTGTTGACTCTAGTATGACCAATGATGAAACGTACAGGACATATTATGTGAAATGTTCAAGACATATTACTGATATTGTTGTCTATATGACCAATGATGAAACGTATAGGACATATTATGTGAAATGTTCAAGACATATTACCGATATTGTTGACTCTAGTATGACCAATGATGAAACGTACAGGACATATTATGTGGAATGTTCAAGACATATTACCGATATTGTTGACTCTAGTATGACCAATGATGAAACGTACAGGACATATTATGTGGAATGTTCAAGACATATTACCGATATTGTTGACTCTAGTATGACCAATGATGAAACGTACAGGACATATTATGTGGAATGTTCAAGACATATTACTGATATTGTTGACTCTATGACCAATGATGAAACATATAGGACATATTATGTGGAATGTTCAAGACATATTACTGATATTGTTGACTCTAGTATGACCAATGATGAAACGTATAGGACATATTATGTGGAATGTTCAAGACATATTACCGATATTGTTGACTCTAGTATGACCAATGATGAAACGTACAGGACATATTATGTGGAATGTTCAAGACATATTACCGATATTGTTGACTCTAGTATGACCAATGATGAAACGTACAGGACATATTATGTGGAATGTTCAAGACATATTACCGATATTGTTGACTCTAGTATGACCAATGATGAAACGTACAGGACATATTATGTGGAATGTTCAAGACATATTACCGATATTGTTGACTCTAGTATGACCAATGATGAAACGTACAGGACATATTATGTGAAATTTTCAAGACATATTACCGATATTGTTGTCTATATGACCAATGATGAAACGTACAGGAAATATGATGTGAAATGTTCAAGACATATTACCGATATTGTTGTCTATATGACCAATGATGAAACGTACAGGAAATATGATGTGAAATGTTCAAGACATATTACCGATATTGTTGTCTATATGACCAATGATGAAACGTACAGGAAATATGATGTGAAATGTTCAAGACATATTACCGATATTGTTGACTCTAGTATGACCAATGATGAAACGTACAGGACATATTATGTGAAATGTTCAAGACATATTACCTATATTGTTGACTCTACGACCAATGATGAAACGTACAGGACATATTATGTGAAATGTTCAAGACATATTACCTATATTGTTGACTCTACGACCAATGATGAAACGTACAGGACATATTATGTGAAATTTTCAAGACATATTGCCGATATTGTTGACTCTACGACCAATGATGAAACGTACAGGACATATTATGTGAAATGTTCAAGACATATTACCGATATTGTTGACTCTACGACCAATGATGAAACGTACAGGACATATTATGTGAAATGTTCAAGACATATTACCTATATTGCTGACTCTATGACCAATGATGAAACGTACAGGACATATTATGTGGAATGTTCAAGACATATTACGACCAATGATGTAATGTACAAGACGAATTAGCAATTGTGTTGAGTAAACAGTCTATGAGCAATGGCGGTGTAACGTAATAAATTGTAGTAATGTTATTCCTTCCATAGTCTTGAAAGAGACACTAGCTTTAAAGAGAGACTGATGAATCAGAACGACTTTATTCGTACGGGTATGTCTTAAACATGTTACGTTGCACTCTAAGCTAACATGACAAATATGATTTATCTATTTCCATCTCATACTTACAAGTGTAATCTTTATGCCAAACATTGTCTATTAAAGTATTGCAATGTCAACGGTGTATTTAACAATATTGGAGAACTCTGAGATAACGTTTTGGACAAGTTTCAAGTGTAGGAATGCTCGTTCTGTTCATCCTTTAGTATAAGCTTATATGTGAATGAAGCCTGACTAAATACTAAGCATAGTAGCAAGAACAATACTCTTCACAAAAATACAGTAAATAGGCAAATACAATGATATAATCTTACTGGTAGGTTAGGAATTCTAGATATTTCAGAAGATATTAATTATAGAATGAAGAGGGTTATTATCTTGAGTATAATCATCTTAGTAATGAATCGCCTGAAGTAGAAAAGCTACACCACACTTCCTTCAAAAAGTTTGACAACACCACGCGTAAAGTCAACCGTCAACCGGCGAACTTAAACAATCAAAATCAAATTCCCAAACTACTTGTACTGAAGCTAAAGAAACTTTTTGATTGAAATCCAAAACAGGCCTTATTAACACACAATCCAATTTTGGCGTCAGGAGTGTACGATGCATGTGTAAAATGTGGAATGATTATCAGTGATTTGGGTACGTTGATGCCTAGCCATTAGTCTTTATAATATAAAATCAACCAATATCTTCATGTAGGATTTGTTTTGATAGATCAACTCATTTTATTCAATATAACTATCCTGAGGCCCAGTAACTGATGAAAGCTGGCTGCGGGCCTGTTAATAACTGACCTTTAATGAATATTTGGCATTCAGTCAGTAGGCTTACATGTATGTTGTGTGGGGTGTAAATAATGATTGGAATATCCGGTATAATCCCATATATCAACAACAAGCGAGATTACGAGTTATGTTCCGACACATGTTACAACTGATCGTATTTTATTAGGAATGGTAGAGATTATGTTTATCCTAACCCGGTCATTACTGACGTTTGAGTTAACATCAAGATTGATTTGAGATTTAATTCTGTGAACTTAATGACAGCAGCCTCGACCCTTACAAAACTCCCAAAATATCGCATATTGTAGATGTTTGGACCGTCCCTATCATTCGTGGCAGTTGCCCATTTACCTAGTTTCCGACTTCTGTCATTACGTTAATACATGGTGCAATGGATGAGGGTTTCCACATTTTGGAGGGGAGTGTATTATTTTAGCTATCTGTCTGCTATTATTGATGTGCACTTGTTTGTATTTCAAAATACATGTTGTGCCATATTTTCCCCTTGGGATGAATACTGGGCTTTTTGGCTGAACACCATCGTGTTTTTCGCAATGCCATTACAAGACCAAAAATAGGTGGATTCGGGGATGATTCCAGGTCAAAACCACATCCACACACTGCGTTAGTAAACGTGTAATTGTGTCGCTAACCTCATAAATGTGGAGGGTGTTGTCAAGAACTATTGTCGCATTACCAGACAAAGAACGGGGATTCACTTTGCTAGCTAGATTGTCGATCACTGTCTTGACAACACAAAATCAGAAACAAAAATCCAAATCAGAAACCATTTATTAGTAAACTTAAATAAGAAAACCTCTTTTGTCTCGGTTTTGTAAAAAAAACTTTTGTTCATTTTTTTACGGTTTATAGGGTTTTCAAGATGTTATTCTATCTTATGATTAACATGTTAATACGGCGGGTGTTTTTAAAAGCCTTACCTCAACAGAGGATGTCAGAATGTTAGAATTCTTAGGAAGTTTGAGGTGATAGAGAACTTTGTGGAGGAGTTCCCCCAGGTAAAGGTTACCTGTATTAATCAATTAGGTTGCCATGGTAACGTTGTATTTCTTCAACAATCGTGATTCAACTGATGAGATATTCTTCAACTGAAATATGTCTTTGAACCTGACAGATTCAGACATTAAAACTGCAATATAAGCTATGGCATTATAAATAAGACATTACATTGTTCCAAACTTCGTCACAGTCATCTTGGGAATTAAAAATGGGTCATCTACCATTTTCAACACAAAACGAATGTTGAAAATAAACTCCCGAAACGCCAGACTGGTGGATGGTACATATTCGGGTTCATGGTGTCTTGCTCCTTGTATGATATGGGCTATAACATGTGCAATTATGTGTAATTTTGATATTAACTTGTGTAATTTTGACATTAACTTATGCAATTTTGACATTAACTTGTGCAATTTTGATATTAACTTGTGTAATTTTGACATTAACTTGAGCAATTATGACATTAACTTGAGTAACTTGGACCATGATTTGTGCAACAACAAGTAACCTCATTAGTTTCCCTGTAATCCTAACTCGCCTTTAAATAAAAGTAACACTATAAATAAATCAATTAATTCCAAGATCATCAACTGTAATAGTAGGAACTTGCATGTACACTCCCCTCAACAAGATTGCCAATCGTGACTCCACAAGGATTTATGAAAATCTCCACATACATAAATCAAATATTATTTTACTCATGATCCTTTCGTCGAGCTAGTGTTGCTTAAATTTTGATGGAAAGTGTACATGTTCTATCTTCGACTGATTCATCACCAAGTTATTACTAAAATGAGTAATCCAAGTCGATAGGTCTGAAATGTATGACTTTGATGAGATATAAACTGGATTTAACACATGCTTCAATGAGACTTGGAATTACCAATCTTTTGGAGGGAACTGTACATCTACTAGATTTGAGAGAAAGTCCTAGAGATCAACGTTAATTCACTGTTTTTCGACGTCAAAAAAGTATATTACTACTCAGGTTTTCGAAGCATTTAACGACTTAAATACTTAGCACTGATCATGATTTCATAGACTATAAATTGATAATTTAAAATGAGATTCAATTGGTTATGACCTCATTGCAAATGGCAAAACTGGCAATTAGTTCTTATCGTTAATTGAAGTGATTTTGAGTGGTTTGAGAAACCCAAGAAAAGTAAAGAAAACTCTCGTGGGTCCGTTTGAAGATTATGTCGACTATTTATAGCTGTTTTTCCGAATTTAGCATCGTATTATGACTTGGAAAATAATGTTATCTTCTCTGGCAGCATTGGTACAAATGTTCTTTACATTCCTGGGGTTTAATCATTAAAAAATGTATTTTCAGATTTTTCCGTTGCCCCGTGATACGAACACCTGGTTACCATGACGACAACGGCGGGTGGAAAACTAGCCCAGGAGATTCATGATGAGTTTCTCGTTTGTAAAATCTGTCTTGAAGGCTATAAGAATCCCAAAAGTTTGAATTGTCTCCATACTTTCTGTGAGGTGTGTATCCAGAATCATGCAGAGTCGGAAGGCTCCTACAAGAAGTATTCCGACTACAGGGAGTTCACCTGCCCGTTGTGTAGAAAACGCACAACGCTACCTATCGGCGGAGTCAAGAAACTCCCCGATAATTTTCTCGTCTCCAGCCTTGGTGAAGTTGTCCAGCGTCAACGACCCTCTAAGTTCCCCTTTTGCGACATCTGTAAGATGGTAAACCGGAAACACCGGGAAGCTGCCTCAAAATGTCTGGATTGCGCCAAGTTGCTTTGTAAGTCTTGCCTTGAGCTTCACAAGACCACTAAAGTGACGAAGGATCATAGCATATTCGATGTCGAGATAGAGAAAGACATTGAATGTAAGGAGCATCAAGATGAGGTGGTCAGATTCTACTGTGAACCCTGCGAGACGTGCATCTGTGTTCTCTGTACATTCAACGAGCACAAGGACCACGATATTTCGAATTTTCAAGAGTCCGTCATTAAATATAAAGATAACATCGAGAACCTCCTTCGTACATGTACTGGAAAGATCAATAAATTTGAGGAACAGTTAGAATCTCTTACTGAATGCGAAGAGCACGTACAAAACGCCGAAAAGTTGATCCATGATACTGCTCTCGAGTTCATTTCGGATATACGCAACAGAGAGAAGTATTTGATAGAAGAGTTGCATACCATATATGGACGAGATACCATGGAGTTTATAAAACGCAAAGGTGAAATGGCAACAAATCTAGAGGGACTGAAAAGTACATGTAATTTGACTGAATTGATCCTTAAAGGAAAAGATATAGAACTGCTTCTACTTAAGAAGCAAGTATCCGAGAAGCTAGGCCATCTGAAAGAATTGAAGATCGAAGCACTACCCGGGTCGGTAGGTAAGAAGGTGACATTCTTCCCAGGCAAGCTGGACTTTGGCTACGTACAGGACCCAGAGAGACCGATGCTCTCGCGACTGAGGGCCAAGAGAATAACGTCCACAGAGAGACTGAGTGAGTCTGATCTTATATCTGAGACGGCCACCCAGACATGCAAAGAGGACCTAGATGAATCGTTTTCTGATGAGGAAAGCTACGAAAGCGACAAGAGTGACGTAAGTCTAGCTGAAGTTGAAACACAAACCCATCTCACCGCTATAATGCCCCGCATCAAGGCCCTTGACAAGCCATTCTACCCATGCATGGAGAAAGGCATGAACACCAATTGCCCCAATATGGAGGACAAGGCAGTCAATACGAGGAGTCGGAGCCTCCAGAGCACGAGGAAGTCAACGGAAAACACGGCGGGTGATCAAGAAGGTGAGACGGGTAACTCCCCTACCCCTAATCGCCGTAGACGTCGCCGCGAGCGTATAGAAAGAAGCAAAACGATGGATGGCGGGACAATTCCGTCATCCGAGATCACTAATACGTCATCAACTGCACCCGTTCAGTCAACATTTATGCCTGGCAGGAGACGACCCCTTAACAGTAATGGCAGCTTTGAACTAACATACACGAGTAGTGTGGACGAGAACTTTTATAGTCCAGAAGGCACCCCTCCACAACCCAACAGCCCTAGATAGCTAGGCCTGTCTACTATAGCGGGCCACGGTCTCAAACGAAACATTAGTGCCCCACGGGTCGAGTTCCCAACAGGACCTAGGTTTTAATTACTGATGCGTAGAAATATCATCCCGAATTAGTTACTCTGTCTATTCAATCATTGAGACCCTGGCCTGCTGTATTCGGGCCCCACTGCTGTTAGAACACACCCATAACGATAACTGCAGTTCACGCCATTTGGGCATCCCCATATCACAAACATACGTTGACATAAACTGCCTCGGAATATTCAAATCGTGGTCATGTTTTCGTTTCTTGGGACTGGAAAGAGGAGGATAAGATTAAATGAGTCATTTCGTATTAGCAAGTAATTACCTGTGAAAACATGGCCACAAATTGAATACACTTGTGGCAGGATCTATGCAAAGCTTGGGGAAATTTTTGGCATGTGATTTGAGAGCGCATCACTAAATGTGTACTTATAAATATGTGGGCTGCAATAAACGCTTCTTGTTCTCTTGTCAACTCATTGGTTGCTATGAAAAAAACACTTGTTGTGATGACAACACACTGAGTCGTTGCTATAGTTATCATGCACAAACCATGTTTTACTTATGAACGCTTTTAACACGAGTGTTATTGATTAAACAAAGGCATGTTTCAAATATTAAGATAATTTTCTCTGACTTAAAACATAATTAAAGTTTGCTTATATTTATGAATAACGTTGCCATAGTAACATAAACTGTAATCTAAAGTATCCTTTGAGGTTTGATTAGCAATTTAGAAAACCAATCATTGATTGGATGTTTCGTGAATTATTTTTGTTTAGAATCAGAAATACAGAGTGTCCATAAAGTCTCTTTCCACTTTACATAGACTTTGTATTGTAAATATAGAGACTTTACGGACACCCTGTATATACATTGCTTATTGACTTTAAAGGAATGCTTTACTGGATATTAAACACTACTGAATATTCTTTACAGTCTACAACTGAGTGACAGCAACGGTGACCATAGCAACCGAATAACAAAGCAGCATACGTGTATATATAGCGAACGATATATGTAGTTATTTATATATAATACGTGTATGTAAAGTAGGAAGATGAAATATATATAGAGTTATCGAAGAGCTGAAATAATGATACCAAAAACAAACGTGCCGTAACAGTTCATTAATATTATTTTATATGTTTGTATAACAATGCAATAATTATTGTGATATGTGTACAAGATGTGCATATGTGTACATGATGTGCATATGTGAACATGATGTGCATATGAATTAATATGTCATTAAACAGTTCAATATTGTTTAAGTCTATATGTATAGTTATTTATAAAATGTACTGAAAGTGCCTTATTGTGCAAATATTCAACTTAACGGTTCATATAACAACTTAGGGAAACATACCAGTGTAGAAATACGATCAGACCTGTAATATGACAGGCTAGAAAAACGAACAGAAGTGTATACATGGGTAAGAGCTAAATGTGATGCTAAATGTACAGCAAAAAGCAGCCAAAACATAAAAATATGAAAATGTTTTGAACTTACAGTAAAAAGTGAATCGGTCACGAGCAGTGTGAGAAACGAACAGTTAAAGCAAGACATCTGAACTGTGATACACAGATTCATGCAATATTTTACATGTGTTACTGTGATATAAGCAGTTTCAAAATGATTTTTAGAATTAAATATGGAAAGTTTCGGCAGTATAGATTATTAGAGCATCACATTTTATAATCAATTTTGAAGACAAACATTTTTGGGGTAAATTACTCTCAAGATTGAGTAATGTACGTAGTTGAGCTCAAAGTTCATCAAATTCAAAATGTGCTTGAAATACAATTGAAAAGTTAAATTATATATGTAGAGTCTAGGAATTCAACGAAATAATAAAACAAATGTACATTTGTGAAAATGTTATTGTATGATGTTATTGTATGATGCTATTGTATGATGGTGTTGTCGAATGTTATTGTATGATGTTGTACGCAGTATGTTGCGAAAACCATCATAACAGACTTACTTTTTTAATGTTAAAACATTTTACAGTCATGTTCGAATTAGTGGGTCAATGGAAATGTGACTTGTCACTTTCGTCTTAAAGAGAGAATCAGATATAGCGAGCAGGCTAAACAAAAAATTGTTTCAATTTTAGAATATTTTTGGCTCATGTCATTCCTTGTCATGTCTATTTTCTAAAAATCACAAAAGTACATACTTTATTCCAGGAAAACTAAAGATTTTTACAATAATGTATCAGTTTTCTATAAGAATGGTTACCATTTTTATTATTTGGGAGAATTTATAAATTTTTCACTCATTTTTGCACTTTGAATCATTTATAACATTTGATGGCATGAACTCATCAAGGTAGCCGCATCAAAACCGAACAATTACAGAATGGCATTGAGCGATCGGTGACCTCGATCGTAACGGAGTGTCGATCGTAACGGAGGAGGACAATAGTACGAGACATTCTCAAACAGCGCATTTAACTCGTTGAACAACGACACACTCAAGCCTCTAATCAATTGGTTAATGAACTATTTTGAAGCTACAAGAAGAATGATATACGCGCCAAATGTTTGGTTAACGAACTATTTTGAAGCTACAAGAAGAATGATGACGAACTATTTCGGAAGCTGCAAGGAGAGTGATGTATGCGTCAAATGATTGGTTAACGATTTGGAAGCTGCAAGGAGAGTGATATATGCGCCAAATGATTGGTTAACGAACTATTTCGGAAGCTGCAAGGAGAGTGATGTATGCGTCAAATGATTGGTTAACGAACTATTTGGAAGCTGCAAGGAGAGAGATATACGCGCCAAATGATTGGTTAACGAACTATTTCGGAAGCTGCAAGGAGAGTGATGTATGCGTCAAATGATTGTTTAACGAACTATTTCGGAATCTACAAGGAGAGTGATGTATGCGTCAAATGATTGGTTAACGAACTATTTCGGAAGCTGCAGGGAGAGTGACATACGCGCCAAATGGAGAGGAAAATAGTTTCCATGGTAGGTTGAGGAAATTAAAATGATGAATAAGATTCATCATAACATTGTCGATTATCATCATGTCTCATTATCATGACTTCAGTCGTCACTGACACATATTTAGTTATGCAATGTACTAATGAAGCATTCACGCATTTCCCACACGCATACTAACGCATTTTCCATAAACGCACTAATAGTAAGTGACGCCTTTTCAACAAACGCTTCCCCACAACACATACTTAATACCAGTAATTCACCGTCTCTGAACCAATATTTAGATCATGAATGTTTCTGGTACCTTTATAAAAGATAAGAAGTCTCTGGTCAAATATAGCAGATTGGTAGTCTTCATCAACTAACTGATCATTCACAAATTCTGAAGAGTATTAGACCTCATCAGATAAAAAAAAGTAAAAACGTGATCGTGATACTCAGCAGCTTCCAATTCTAGCATTTAGCATTTGCTATTGAAGAGAACGGGAGTGTCAAAGATTTGTTTTGCGTTATCACAGTGTGTGTACCAAATTAAGCGTGACAGTTAAACGCGCTGGGTAAGGTACAACACGAGGGTGATGAGCAATCTGATGTTTTCATCGTTACAGAAAGATCTGGTCTAGTTTCTAGATAAGCGGGCGGTAATTGTCGATTTCGATATTTTCATTTTCATTGAATTAAACTACTTTATAGTAACGTTATGCTTTGGAATTAGCACCAAGTCAGGATTATATGAGATGGGAACTATGGAGTATGATAATTTGTTCATATATCGTGCGTGGGTGCCACAGTTCAACGATATCTCCCACCGCTTAAGGGAAGGTAACTGAATTTATGATACGGTAACGGTCATGTTAGTTTTCAATACGCGGTAACTGGACATCATAGATCTCCAATATAAACTCTCATAACATAACCGCATCACCGCATATCAGTTATCTTTAACCGGACTCTCATCATCTGTTAAACCAAAATCCCAGCCACCTTCCCTTAAGGTGTGGAAGATATCGTTGAACTGTGGTGCCTACGCACGGCATATGAACATATGATCGTACTATAGAGTTTCCATGTCATATAAGCCTGATATGGTTCAAATATCAAAGCATAACCTCAACTATAAAGTGGTTTAATTCAATGAAAACAAAACTATCGAAATCTACACTTACCGTCCGCCATCTTAGTTGCGAAGATTACGGCCGTTACTTTCCTTGGTGCAGACCAGTGATAATAACATCCTAGACAGTGAACTTGACAGAGGGTTTCATAGTTTATCGACCTGCACATTATACCGTATACTATATTTGCAGTTTGTGAAGGTTTAACTATGAAATTCACTGTAAAGTTCACTGACTATGATATTGTTAAAACATTTACATATAAACATATATAAAAACTAGACCATATCTTTCTGAAACAAAGAAAATATCAGTTTGCTCAAATCTCACCACCCCCGTGTCCAACCTTACCCCGCGCGTTTAACCTTCACGCTTAATGTGGTACAGCCCTTGTGGTTACGGAACAATGCGAGTGCTTTGAACTAAGTTTCGCTTTGGTCGTAGTTATTCACTTTTACTAGATCAGTATGTCGCCGCAATGGCATGTTCGTCACTCTTGTATTGGAGTAAAATGAGTTTGTGATATGTTTTAATGCTTAAAGATAAACAGTAAATTGTGAATTGCCGAGAAATTGCACGTTGTACACAAAAGAAACACTCTAAATTGTAAACTGAAATGGACTGAGATTCAGTAATACCTTTATAGTGGAACGTCTTCGATACCTCAAATAGGGTTCCACTTAGAAGGTGCTCCAAAGCTCCATATGCAGAAGTCCATTTTACTTGAAGCTATGAAAAACAGAAAAGTGATGTTCTCCCTTCAGAGGCTGCGTTCCACTTGCCAGGTTCTACTGTATTCGGTATTTCAATCAGAGTGAAGCAAGAGAATAACGACCAGAGAGAGAAATGCTTTAAAACGTTTCCAACATGCTCAATTCTCTACTTGCTGTTTCTCAGTGTGCTAATCATTAATTCAGATTTGGAATGTTCTTAACTTGACGTTTAACATGTAACACAGTCCTGCATCATTTATATAAAATTCTTGATTTAAAAAAGCTTTTAACTTCTCTCCATAAGAATTTTGCTACGATTTGCGGCTCGATTAAGACTCTCGAGATACCAGTGACAGTGACCTTGTGGAGTAAGTCACACCCTCCCCCATTTTAAATATTAGCGTTAGTGATATGGCATTATAAAGGGAGGGTGACTTATTTCCATCTTAACTTGGCACGGAATTACAACTGCATTTCAAATATTCAACTATTCTCGACAATCAACAAATGAACGACGATAAGTTTCACGTGTAAAACTCGTAAAAGACACCGTGCCCAATTCTATTAAATGAATCTCGATATGTTTTCCGACCTTCTGGAAATGAATCAAAATTTCTGTTTATAAGGCAATATGGTGCAATTCCACGGGCGTCCGGTTAAAGTCTAAACCTCGAATTACGGATGTTCTTTTACGTCATTCAGAGAAATAATCCCATCTTCGCGAATTTCTGTTTACAATTTATATGGGTTTTATAACGTCATGCAAACAAAAAAAGATGGCCGCCAGTTTAAAAATGGCGGGAACTTCTCGCAAAAATCTTATGTTTTTCATTTTAAACCAAAATAATAAATATTATTATTTGAAATGTTGGTAGTATATTAACAACATCGATCTATTTCACATATATCCCGGGTTTTTCACCCTGACCCCTAGGGGCCGTAAATCGGGGGTTTGGAAAACAGGAATTTGCATTAATTTTGAGATGTTTTTGAAGTATAGCTTTATTGTACTCAAATGAAAGGCAATTTAGTGTAGATTGCAAATATTGTAGCGTTTTTCAAAAATATCAAAACGATGCGGGATTTCGCAATTATTTTCTGATCTCTTAAAAGTATGGCTATATTATACTCAAATTGAAGGGATTTCAGAGTAGATCACAATTATGGCATTGTTTTACCTCTGAAAATTCAAAATGGCTGACAAGAGCAGAAATTCGCCATTACTTAGAGTTATCTTGAAAGTATGGTTACATTATTCTACAATGATCTAAAATATTTATTGAAGGAAAGAGTAGATGGTAAATATTACATTGTGACTGTACAGATTGATGATTTATATAGTGTTCGTTGGGATTTGCTACTCCGTGGAGTTGCCATTTTCTAGTTTGTATTGAAATTTTATATTTACTATTTTTATATCTTTATGTATATCGCCAATCATTAATCAAACACGACTCTTTCATTAGAAGTGCAATTGATCATTCGAGGTAAGTTATATCATGCTCAATGTTCGACACCATCACTTTTATTATATATTTTCACTTTCAGCCCCTACTTCATCGTGTTATTGTATATTATTTTCACTTTCAGCCCCTACTTCATCGTGTTATTGTATATTATTTTCACTTTCAGCCCCTACTCTTCCGAGGCAAAGGTCGCATGGTTCAATTACGAAGACGGAGGAAATCAAATCTGTCAGCTCTGCGGCGCAGTCTCTCCCAGCTAGCCCCATCAAGAAGGATTCTGGCAACAGGTCTTGGGGAGCGCAGTCAAGCATGCAGAACGGTATTAGACGTTAACTGGTCGGCCTTGCACATAGAACACTCATTGGGAAAAAGATGATGGACGCCCATAAACAAGAAAAACCGTGTTACGTCGGTTATCAATGATATAGGCTAATGGGTGATAATGTTCACTATTTTATCAATAGAAAAAAGGAGTGCAGAGATGCTCGAAAATGATGTACACATCGCAACTCCAGTCATATGTATGGCTACGTGTATATTATACATAAAGACGGGAGATCTTAACCGTCGTAATAAATGAGTATATACTGCAGTCTCATGTTTGGCTACATGTATATTATACATAAAGACGGGAGATCTTCATCCGTCGTAATTCAGTAAATGAGTATATATTGCAGTCTCATGTTTGGCTATATTGTACATAAAGATGAGAGATCTTACCGTCGTAATTCGGTAAATGAGTTTATATTGCAGTCTCATGTTTGGCTATATTATACATAAAGATGGGATCGGAGATCTTAACCGTCGTAATTCATTGTAAGATCATTTATTTAGACTATCTCCAGTGTGGAAAGAGGTGGAGAAACCCCAAGATTTAAAGATGACGTGCATCTACATGTAAATCCGCTTTCTTGAGATGACCCACCATGCTGATTGGTCCAAATTGACAAACAAAAATGGCGGATTCAAAATTCTCTAATAACGCTTCGAATAATATTATATTCATTTCTGGCGTGTTAACCAATACTAGTATCATAGCTTGTTATTTCACATCAATATAAAGAAAGATCAAAGGAATATGTTTAAATCGATTAAAACATCACAACGACTTGTTATATTCAAAAACTAACTAGTGAGAATTTGTGCAAACGGAGGTGGTACGCAAGAGACGTAATATGTCTGTCATCGCTAACTCTCTGGGGGTTTCCCTCCTCTTAATGTAGAGTAACTCTTCAAAATGTTACAAAAACGGATCCGTTTTCGTAAGAAAATGTCACGGCCTTGAAGGTATGATTTTACTTTTTTCATGATTTCTCGAGATGTAGGTCGAATCTCCAGGATCTTGGAAATGTGTGCCAGCATCATGTTTTAGAAAAATCTACGTTTGAGAACGAATTATTCACGAGACAATAGAATCATCGATATACTTCTTCACTGAAGTTACGAAATAACGGAATTCGTTAAAACAGTAACTTCTTTTCTTTCAACCGTTTCGTTTACGTAACAACAATGAGGAGTTATTTTGATTATTCTATCTCTAGTCAAGAAGGATTGTCTCACAGGATCGACAATCGATATTTTCCAACAATCAAAACGTCGAAATGTCGTTCTGAAATTATCGACTATATATTCAAATAAACAGTCTAAAAGATTCGCATCAATATCTCGATTTGGAATTTTTTGTTTAGGAATAAGACAAAAATTCACGATTCAAATGTAGAAGTGAACAAAATGGCGACTGCTAGAATTCAAATTTTGAGCACGACATTTCCATATATTGGACAGAATATCGATGCTGCACTCTGGGAGCCAATTCCCCTTGATCTCTAACTTCTTGTGGAGTTGCAAAACAGAGTCTAGTTTTTATGTGCCAAAAACAAGTCAGAATTTGTGCAGACAAAAAAGTTATGCAACGATTATGTGGTTAGGTGGCATTTTTGTGACACTAGTAGGTACTACAAGTTTTAGATTATCACATTTTCTAAAAAGCGACCAATGAGAGAGTAACAAAATAAGACCCTACCCCTAGCTCCACAAAAAACATCACCAAGTGATCAGATGAGTTCCTTAAAGGGGTTCACAATTTGTCTAACAAAAATAAAGCGAACATTGATATACACCGAAAGGATCATTGTAAATAATGTAAGTAAATATTTATAAAATGCTTGTCTATTTATTTCAACTAACACTATCTTCGGTGATGGAGTCAATGAAATTATGATGTAAATGTCGGAATTCGTAGGCTAGCAACTATGTACTTTGTAAATGTGCTAGCAGTTCATCTTATGTTTTAGTACACATTAGATTACCTCACTTACATTTAACCAGCCGAAGTGACCATCCATTGACTAATAAACTGTGATCGATGCAAGAAATACACCCAAAGTGTCTTATGGAAGATTATTGTGGAGGAATTGAGAATAAACAGATAAACCTGTTCCCGAAATAGTCTCAGTGAATCAGAGCAGCTTCATCACCAATCATGTTGAAAGAACTAGTTGTTGCCATAGCAGCACAGCGCAAAGTCGCAAAAAGAACTAGAATATCAGAGCAGTCTTGCGCAAAGTCGCACGAAGTAGAATTGGCACAAAGTCCTGTTAATGGAAAATCTCAAACTTACTTATATCTGTATGATAACTAAGTTGTATGCAGGATTTTTTTGTTGGATACGAAATATAATATCATGAGCATGTTGTATAGTAGAAATACGTAAGCCCCGTAACGGACGATATCGTATTTTATTGTTAGCTGGATGGAATATATGTAGTATAATTGGCTTTTATCAAATATAAATATTTGTCAAACTGCTTATATTGGTAACAATTATTTTCATGTTGCCTTTTGATTTTATAATCGAAGTGTTCCTTCGTCGTTAAATTGGCTTGAAAATTCACATGATCCCCAATATTTGCTATGACCCTACGTTGTTATGACGTTATAGTTGCTACGACTATTTCAGTTGGAATGACACAAAGTTGTTATGACGTTATACAGGGTGTTCCATATGTTTCAGGAATGATGCTGTGGTTTATTGGTTTTCTTTTCAATCTAACTGAATTTTTGACACAATGTGTCTAAACATGTTTTGAATGAGTTGGGAAAGTTTCATATCGTGAAGTTCAGTAGTCTTAATTATATGGTTGCTATAGTAACCTAGGGGTAGGGTAGGTGGAGCAGGTGTAACAACGTTGTAACAACGCGCAAAATATATGAAAATTGGTAAAAATAGTTTTTTTTGTACGAAGTGTGACTAAGTATTAGGTTGTCAGAGTTGGATCAAACTTGTCAGTAATTAAACAAAAATGAAGGTGGATTCCAAGAAAGTAAAAAATGTCACCACCCTTGATCACATCACAATTTAAACACCTGTCATGTCATGAGTCACAAAGGAGAATAAACACAGGTAATTTTAGACGAGCGGCCATCTTAAAAAGTGAAAAAGTCATAAGCAAAGGAAAACCTTCGACTTAGGCAACACACAACAATCTGTGACAAGACATGACATGTGTGAATAACAGTTTTCTGCAGCAGACACAATTAAACTCCTAACGAAACCACATAGGGACTCAATGATGGTAACCTCTAGAATGTATGAGTGGTACAAGTGGTTCAAATCTGGAAGGGAAACTGAGACCGATTATCCTAAATGTGGACATCCGAGAATAGTGAGAGCGCTAACTAATGCGGAAGGGATAGATGCTGAAATAATGATGATGGCTAATAAAGGGTGTGATAACATAATTAATTTCCCGGATTCCACCTTTATTCTTTTTAATTTCCAACAAGTTTGATGCGACTATGACAAATTAATACTTTGAACATGATACAAAAACTATTTTTACAAAAATGTCATGTTTTGAGCGTTGTTACACCTGCTCCACCTACCCTACCCCTAGGTTACTATAGCAACCATATTATTCAGTCTACTCAGTTTCATGATATGAAACTTTGACAACTTATTCACAACATATTTGGACACATTTTGTCAAAAAATCAGCTAGATTGAAAAGAAAACCAATAAAATACAGCATCATTCCTGAAACATATGGAACACCCTGTAGTTGCTATGACCATTACATTGAAATGCCCCTAAGTTGTTATGACGTTATAGTTGCTATGACCATTACATTGAAATGCCCCTAAGTTGTTATGACGTTATAGTTGCTACGACTATTATAGTTGGATTCGGACACTAAGTTGTTATGACGTTATAGTTGCTACGACTATTATAGTTGAAATTAGACTAAGTTGTTATGACGTTATAGTTGCTACGACTATTATAGTTGAAATGAGACTAAGTTGTTATGACGTTATAGTTGCTATAACCATTATAGTTGGATTCGGACAATAAGTTGTTATGACGTTATAGTTGCTATGGCCATTATACTTGAAATGACACTAAGTTGTTATGACGTTATATCGCCTGCTTGGAAGCAGAAGGGGCTATGTGCACTTTTTCTGATTTTGAGAAAATGCAAAAACAAACTTTGAAACCCAATATGAATTCAAGTATATGGATATTGCATATAATTTTTATACATAAACATTCAGAATGATAATATCTAACATGTGTTAAGTGTCCATTGTGAAAGGTTACCTAATTAAAAAGATATTCACTAATTTGCACATAGGACCTTCTTGCATTTTCAAATGATGCTGTCATACATAAGCAAAGGGTCTATTTGGTAGATAACTCCTTTTAGCATTGTGGATTTTTTACTTGATATTCATTGGAGTGGGCTCATTTTATCCTGCTATGCATTGATGTTTGATTATTTCATTAAACCAAATCAAAGTTCCATTTCATATTATTATTTGTGATAATTTATTTAGATATTTAAGATGTTTTCATTCATAGAATATTTTTGTGTCTCTAACAAAAGCAGGGTATTCTTTGTTATAGTCACCAACTGATTTATGTCACACTACAATAGCAGTCTTGATACTGACATTTTGTCACTTTAATGCATTGTTTCTCTTATTTTTGCCCTTGTACAATTTCATTATGGAACAGAAAGATATTTAAATTTTAACATTGAATAATACATTTTATTTCATCGTAAAATACATTTTGATAATATTGTACACAAATTTGAGATGTATACATGAAAATAACAAAAAGTGACATCAGGATATAAATATACATACATTCAAATCACATGAATTAATATGAGATACACTTTATTAACTAAGTTCAATATTACTATGATTTAGAAGTCAGAGTCTGTATCATCTGAGCAGTCAGACACATTATAGGAATTTTGTCAGAAAGCTTTCTGTCAACTTCAAGAGATGAGAAATAGGGGTGAAATTCATTAGGAATGGTTAGGCTTTGACATAGTGATAACAAATCTTTCTTTTTTGCTGATGATATTGGTAATTTATGACTGTATAGTTGATTTGGACCATGTATCCATTTTCCTGGATTTCCTATTTTAGTTCTGGTCCCACTTCTTACGTTTACTTCCATAAACTCATCTTCATTGAAGGAGTTGTTAAAAGATATACTATTTGGGGAGGACTTTTTCACTCTAATCCATCTTATTTTTAACCAGTTTATTCGCTTGGAATTGATGTCAAACTTTAAGTTTGAACACTGCTTTCTGACAAACTGTTTCCAGTCATTGACATCATTGTATTTTAAATGAACAACAAGATAAGGATTGTTTTTTCTAGAAAGGGTGATGACAGTGTTTCACTGACTTGGAACAAATACTTCTGTTTTTTTTCTTTGTACATTCAATGTTTGAATGAACAGAGTCCACCTCCATTTGCGTGTGACGCTTCCAATGCTGAAGGGGATGCCAGCAGACAACCTGCCTAAACTCATCAATATTATGATACAGGTTTTCCTCACCTGAATTCAGAAGAACTGCTTCAATAAAGCAGTCTCCATGAGGAGCAACATTTACTCTTTTCAACTCATTGCTATTGAGCAAATTGTCCAACCGTTCTCTGTGGTATTGTTTAGCCTTGTCAGCTATTAGCTTTTCTTGAAGACTTTTGCGTTTAATACGCCTCATACTTTCCTTGTAGTTTTTGCAACTTCTTGGTTCAAGTACTTGATTGTAGGACCTACTTTTGCTCTGCCTACTCAGAGGTGTTGTGGATGTTTTACCGAATGCCTTGGTCGGTTTCTTTTTCCACCCTTTGTCTCGTGACTTTAAAGTGCTTTTGCGTTTTTTCACACACAAAGACAGTAACATATCTGCTTCAGAATCATCTGAGTTAATATCAGCAAGAGTTGGATTAAAACTAGAGTCAGCGTCCACATCATCAATAACCTCTGATTCACTGTTCATTTCTTCAATTCCTATGTATTTATTGGTGACTAATGGTCTTTCATCCTCTGTGTCCCATTCTGAAGGCCCGTCGAGATGCACTAGCTTTAGATTTATCAATGGTGTGTCATCTTCTGTAGACCATCCAGGTTTCATCTCTTGGTTTCCTACAAATGGAATATCTTAAACACACTGTCAATAATATGAATTAATAAGATATCGATGTTATTTTTCAATCACAAATTACACAATATAGATTCCAAATAGGTATAACAAATTATTACAAAATAAGCTAATAGAACTATTTCAAAAGTAATAAAATGTTATGCAATTACTAGGGCTATTTTATTCAAATGTTTCAAATGTATTCAAATGTTTACCTGCGAAGGTTGGTAGATTTATGTTCTGATCCCAGCCGGGTGGATTAAACAATGTATCAAGGACGTTGGGGGTTATATCTAATTCATGATCAGGAGCTGCCTTCTTCACACAATCAGGGGCTATCTGGTTCACACAATCTTGGAATATCTGGTTCACACAATCGGGGGCTATCTGGTCCAGGCAATCGGGGGCTATCTGGTTCAGGCAATCGGGGGCTATCTGGTTCAGGCAATCAGGGTCTATATGGTTGACGCAATCAGGGTCTATCTGACTCACACAAACAGGGGGTGTCTGGTTCACGCAATTGGGGGATATCTGGTTCAGGCAATCAGGGTCTATCTGGCTCATACAATCAGGGTCTATCTGGTTAACCCAATCGGGGGCTATCTGGTTCAGGCAATCAGGTTCTATCTGATTCACACAATCAGGGGCTATCTGGTTCACGCAATCAGGGTTTATCTGATTCACACGATCAGGGGCTATCAGGTTCACACGATCAGGGGCTATCTGGATCACACGATCAGGGGCTATCTGGTTCACATTATCAGGGGCTATCTGGTTCACGCAATCAGGGTTTATCTGGTTCACACGATCGGGGACTATCTGGTTCAGGCAATCAGGGTCTATCTGGTTCACGCAATCGGGGGCTATCTGGTTCAGGCAATCAGGGTCTATCTGGCTCACACAATCAGGGTTTATCTGATTCACACAATCAGGGGCTATCTGGTTCACACGATCAGGGGCTATCTGGATCACACGATCAGGGGCTTTCTGGTTCACGCAATCAGGGTTTATCTGGTTCACACGATCAGGGGCTGTCTGGTTCACACGATCAGGGGCTATCTGGTTCATACAATAAGGGGCTATCTGGTTCACACGGTCTTGGACATTGTCAACATGATCAGTAGATGTCTGTTCCAATTTATCTGGACCTGTTTTTTCCAAACAACCAGGGATCGTATTCTCATAATTGTATTGCTCTAGATCAATATTTGCAAACGCTTCGTCATCGGACCAAATATCCATATCAACCGTATCCATTTCTCAACTAAAAAACAAACGTAACATATTGTATGCTTCAAATAAACTGGAAAATAATTATAATTTAAATTAGAATCAAAATATAATTTATTTGGGGGGGGGGCTATGCCTATGGTATTGGTACAATAAACGTCATGCCCTTTTTTATAATGAGTATAATGAGATGCAATAGGATATTATCTTTGTAAGTTAAATAATTGTTTATATATTGTACAAAATAAAAGTGTCAAACTTACCTTATTTATCTAATTTTACACCAGACAAGCAAAAAACATGTGATTCACAAGGGGAGATTAGAATCATTGTAGGCTATTTGTTAGGTGATATCATTGGATGTTGTAACATGAGCTGAATGGAAGTCAGTGAAATAGGCTTGTAAACTGACCTAGTGGCATCAGGTTACTTCAGTGATCCTCTTCTTAGCAGTAGCCAGAAACAGAAAACCAGAAGGTGTTATATGACAGATAACACCTTCTTGCATTGTAATTATGCACATAGCCCCTTATAGCTTATAGAGAAATAGCATATCAGCACATAGGCCTTTTTAAAAAACAAAATAACTCTTTTATTAATCATCAAACTACTTAGATATTTCTACACAAGGTAGATATGATGTATCTGCTTCTGATGGTGTAAAAATCTCATTTTCTTAAAAAATGCATATAGCCCCTTCTGCTTCCAAGCAGGCGATATGTGCTATGGCCCTAAACGTCGGAAAAGTTTGTAAATAGTGATTATTTTCAATTTAACATAATTTGTATACATGTATCTCCTTTATATAAAGGGCAATAAATATATACATACATAGTCATACATACCTCTTTACCATCAATATGTTGCCATGGTAACATATATTGGCAGAAATGTGTTGGGACTCATTAACATGTTTATATATGTTGCCATGGTAACATATATTGCCAGAAATGTGTTAGGACTCATAATATGTTTATATATGTTGACAGTAATAGTTTGAGGTTAGTCTAAACAGAACTAGCTAATTTATTGGAAGTTGTAAGAAATTGTTACAGACGTCGACCGCCGAACAGTTTTGAAGGCGCCCAATGCCAAACACCAAATGCCGACCATAAAAGTGGAGATTGCAGACTCTAACAATATGTCACCACTTGCACCACTTGTGGTGGTGACATACTAAACCAGACTATAACTGCCTCAAGTTGGCTACGCTATTTTCCATGCTGCTTTCAATAAAACAATTCTAGCAAATAACTAGTTACATTGGATTGATATGTGAAAGTATTTGTTTCAAAAATATGTGAGAAAATATTGAAAACATCCATGTAGAAAATTAGTAAACAAAAATGAATTTTGGGAGCCAATGCTTTGCCTGTATACAATGTGCAAATGAATATCAGTTCTTTTAATAGATGGAACACTTCATTTGCGAAGTTTCCCGTTCTATCACTCAAGATGCTGATTGATGTAGGAATTGTTTAAGAAATTGGCATTGAGTTTGAGATTTGTCTATCCCACATCATTTGAGACCGAATGCACTATAATGTAGCTGTATCTACAAATATTTTGAATATTGTGCTTAGACATTCATCTAACTTCAATATCATTATTTGATGTTTTATATTATGTTCCACTTGTCTGGAAGTATTTATTAAAAGCTAAGTTATCTATTTTTTATGATTTTTAGTTTAATGTCGAGCAAAACGTTTAATTGCTCTGTAATAGAGAATGTCCATATACAATACCTTTAATACTATTGACGATAGGGAATGTCTACATACAATACCTTTAATACTTATGATGATAGGGAATGTCTACATACAATACCTTTAATAATTATGATGATAGGGAATGTCTACATACAAAACCTTTAACACTTATGATAATAAGGAATGTCTGCATACAATACCTTTAATACCATTGACGATAGGGAATATCTACATATAATACTCTTGATGATAGGGAATGTATACATACAATACCTTTAATACTATTGACGATAGGGAATGTCTACATTCAATACCTTTAATACTTATGATGATAGGGAATGTCTACATACAAAACCTTTAATACTTATGATGATAGGGAATATCTACATACAATACTATTGATGATAGGGAATGTATACATACAATACCTTTAATACTCTTGATGGTAAGGAATGTCTATATACAATATCTTTAATACTCTTGATGATAGGGAATGTCTACATACAATACCTTTAATACCATTGACGATAGGGAATATCTACATACAATACTCTTGATGATAGGGAATGTCTACATACAATACCTTTAATACTCTTGATGATAGGGAATGTCTATATACATACCTTTAATACTCTTGATGATAAGGAATGTCTATATGCAATACCTTTAAAGCAGATATGAAATGGTATTTTTAACCTAAAGGAATCAATATAATTTTTTGATATATGTATTTGGACGTGTTTCCTTATCAGTATTGTGAAAATTATTTCACTCTAACGATCGTAATAGCTGCTTAATAAGCAATATTCGAATTGGTTGTGACGTTATTGACCCCCACGTGATCTCTCACTGGTCCCCACGTGGCCCGTTTTCGGTCCATTAAACCATGACATCATAATGCCAAAATGTTTTGTTATTTGTTTACACAACAATCCTATGGTTGTCGTGACGTTGTGATTACCAAGGAACTAATAAACCAAAACTATATATTGTAACTATATATCTGATTGATCAGTTAATTTTATAACGTTAAATATGACCGTTAACAGTTATCTTACATTTCTTTCATAATGGCTATCGCAAGAACTCTATGTTGGTTGGGCTTACAATGAAGAAAACTGTATTTTTGTAGCTGCAAATTGAGAAAACCTATTTCAATTGTCCTTTAATACTCTTGATGATAGGGGATGTCCATATACAATATCTTTAATACTCTTAATGATAGGGAATAGCTAAATACAATACCTTTAATACTCTTGATGATAGGAAATGTCTATATACAGTATCTTCTATTAACTTGATGATAGGGAATGTCTACATACAATACCTTTAATACTGTTGATGATAGGGAATGTCTATATATAATATATTTAATACTCTTGATGATAGGCTTGTTTACAGACAAAAAATTAAGACTTAAAAAGTGCTCAGAATGGTGAAAAACTTCATGATTTTGAACGATTTTTTGGCCGGGGGGGGGGGGGGATTCGCTTGAACCCATCGGATCCCCCCTCCCCCTGGCTACGGGCCTGACCAGATAGTGTTTGTCTACATTCAATAAAATTAAAACAACACAAACAATTATAATCTGATATAATTTTGTGTTTATTTTATATTGTTTTCTTATTTACATATAACATTATCAATAGTATTTACAAACATGTAAAAACATTAACATTCAATTCAACCTAATGCACAGCTCCATGATAGCAGACAATCTGGATATAAGATCTTGGGAGCCAAGCCATGTTTGAAGGTATGCATCGGACTGGTTGAATTTCAAATGTTTCCCAACCTACTGCACAAATAATCATAATTTAAATACAAAGTCCTGCTAAGCAGTACTTTTTGTTATTATTCTCCTAAAATTCTCATTGTAAACATCTCAGCCATGACACACCTCATACCAATCATGACAAGCCCAATATATGTGTTGAGTCTTTTCTTTTGGGAAAGATATACTACTACAAGGAAATTTGAACACAATATTGGTTTATTCTAAAATTGTTTAACTTATTTTAAATGCCCATTTACAGGTACAGATATTAGTTATTACATTTAAACACTTCATCATTGTTCAGGGTAGATGCCTGGAGATTCCATACAATCAAGACAAACTGTTATAGAAACTACTGGGTTAATACAAGAATACAAACATGACATTGGAAATTACTGAAAAAAACTTCCAGTAGATTAGATGAAATACAATCAAATTACAAATTAGGGAGAGTGAATGACGGGGATGACAGTAATGCCGAAGTAACAACAAAAAATGTAATTATGAAATGGAAAAAGTCAAATATCCCTCTACTTTATTTGTCTCGCATAGTCCTCAATTTACCAAGTATTTGCATATCTTCAAGTAGTCCATAGTATGAAATCTCTAGGACATCTAATAAAGGAGCTGGTAGCACACTATAGCGCAGCGATATTTGACCTAACATTAGCATACCTACATATGTCCCCTAATAATTTTTATTATAACCGTTCAATATACTTCCGGCTTTTAGGCTGAATTATGCAAAAAAAATCCCAATTTTTCACAATTTGGAGTACACAATGCAACAGAAAATGATAAAAAATGATTTTAAATATATGATTTATGTTTCTAAGCTATAAGTTTGAGGTTATTTTTCTTATCAATACCAAAAAATATGTAATCAGTGTATCGACGTTTTGTATTGTTTCTAATGTATTAATAAGATAAATGCTACAAATGAATCACTTTTATATTGGAATGACAAATGTTTAAATGATGCTAGTTTTTTTACAAAGGGGTCTCAATACGTTTTAAGATATGAACCTTTATTCAGCAGTGATAATTATCAGGCGGGCCTATTGCTCTTCCTTGACTAATTGGGACTACAGCTAAAATTCTATTTCCCGTAGTTAGATATAGCTCAGTTGCTTATAAAACAACCATCAAGACTTGATCGAATTCATGAATAATTGAGAAAAATCGTTATCATTATCTTCCTAAAATCTGATTGTATCCAGCGGTAAGGTCAAACAAGGCATTAACATGACAAAATGTCACCACCTAAAACAATTTGGTCAATTTAAAGCAAGTTGGAAAATACCTTTTGACCTTAAGAAGGTTTTTGAAGATTTGAGCTTCTGGGATCTTGTAGATGATTTTGAAAAAAAAATTAAGTAAAGGAGGAGGGAAATTAGCGCAACAGATTTTGTACAGTCATATGTTGGATTTTGGCCATTTTCTGAGGATTTAAACAATTGCATATGTTAGGCCAATGCATTACCTCCAGGAAAATCACTTCTAGAGATGATAAAATAATTTCGACTTTGAGACAGGTTAGATGCAAACAACCCACCCACATGATTTTTCTGAAATGTTTTCCTATTTTTGGACCCCTTCCATCCCTTTTTTAATTTTTCTTGCATCAATATGTTGCATTTTGACACATAGTTAACCACTTCAAAGGAATAAGTGATTCCTTCAGGGGTTTTAAAGATACCCATTATGGGTGACCAAACTTAGCTGAAAGCAATGATTTTTCCTATGGGAAAATAACATGGGAAATATTGTTTTCCACTTTATCTAAATGGAATCATTTATTCCTTTTAAGGGATCAACTGTGTGTCAAAACGCAACATATTGATGCAAGAAAAATTAAAAAAGAAAGGATGGAAGGGGTTGAAAATCAGGAAAACATTTCAGAAAAAACATGTGGGTGGGTTGTTTGCATCTACCCTGTCTCAAAGTCAAAATTATTTTATCATCTCTAGAAGTGATTTTCCTGGAGGTAAAACATTCGCCTAACATATGCACCTGTTTAAATCCCCAGGAAATGGCCGAAATCCAACATATGATTGTCCAAAATCTGTTGCGCTAACTTCCCTCCTCCTTTGAAGCAAGTTGAAAAAAGACCTTTTTGACCTTGAAAAGGTCATTGAAGTTCAAATGTCAAATCTAAAGTCAGATTTGAACTTCTGAGAACATGAAAAAAAATTAGTCAATTTGAAGCAAGTTGAAAAAAGACCTTTTTGACCTTGAGAAGGTCATTGAAGGTCAAAGGTCAAATCTAAAATCAAGATTTGAACTTCTGAGAACTTGTAAAGTCAAATTTGAACTTCTGAAAAGATGTAGATGATTTTGAAAAAAAAATTTGAAGCAAGTTGAAAACAGACCTTTTTGACCTTTTTTGACCTTGAGAAGGTCATTAAAGGTCAAATGTCAAATCTAAAGTCAGATTTGAATTTCTGAGAACATGTAGATGATTTTGAAAAAAATTAGTCAATTTGAAGCAAGTTGAAAAAAGACCTTTTTGACCTTTTTTGACCTTGAGAAGGTCATTGAATGTCAAATGTCAAATCTAAAGTCATATTTGAATTTCTGAGAACATGTAGATGATTTTGAAAAAAAATTTAGTCAATTTGAAGCAAGATGAAAAAATACATTTTTGACCTTTTTTGACATTGAGAAGGTCATTGAAGGTCAAATGTCAAATCTAAAGTCAGATTTGAATTTCTGAGAACATGTAGATGATTTTGAAAAAAAAAATTAGTCAATTTGAAGCAAGTTGAAAAAATACCTTTTTGACCTTTTTTGACTTTGAGAAGGTCATTGAAGGTCAAATGTCAAATCTTAAGTCAAATCTAATAAAGTCAGATTTGAATTTCTGAGAACACGTAGATGATTTTGAATTTTTTTTTAGTCAATTTGAAGCAAGTTGAAAACAGACCTTTTTGACCTTTTTTGACCTTGAGAAGGTCAAATGTCAAATCTTAAGTCAGATCTTAAGTCAGATTTCAATTTCTGAGAACACGTAGATGATTTTGAAAAAAAAATTTAGTCAATTTGAAGCAAGTTGAAAACAGACCTTTTTGACCTTTTTGACCTTTTTTGACCTTGAGAAGGTCAAATGTCAAATCTAAAGTCAGATTTGAAGGTCAAATGTCAAATCTTAAGTCAAATCTAAAGTCAGATTTGAATTTCTGAGAACATGTAGATGATTTTGAAAAAAATTTAGTCAATGTGAAGCAAGTTGAAAAAAGACCTTTTTGACCTTGAGAAGATCATTGAAGGTCAAATGTCAAATCTAAAGTCAGATTTGAACTTCTGAGAACATGTAGATGAAATGTCAAATCTAAAGTCAAATCTAAAGTCAGATTTGAATTTCTGAGAACATGTAATGATTTTGAAAAAAAATTTAGTCAATGTGAAGCAAGTTGAAAAAAGACCTTTTTGACCTTGAGAAGATCATTGAAGGTCAAATGTCAAATCTAAAGTCAGATTTGAACTTCTGAGAACATGTAGATGATTTAGAAAAAAATTGAAGTCAGTCTAAACAGTATTTGTTAAGTTATAGGAAGTTGTAAGAAATTGTTACAGACGCCGGACGCCAACCTCCAACCACCAACCTCCAACCGCCGTCGCAAAAAAACGGAGACCATAACAATATGTCACCACTTTTGGTGGTGACATAAAAACAAATAGCCATCAGAAAACTTGATGATAGCCACAAGTAACGTCGAGGAAGAATTTCAGGGCGTTCGATTGCATATGACTCTAATTGATTTAATTAGACATGCCCTTGGAATATATGAACATTCCAATACCTCTGTAACATTTAATTAGATATAAATCTTACCTATTTGTTATTGTATTATGTTTTGTAAAACATGAACAATAATTTGTTGTTAAACCCCTTGCGATTATATGGAAAAATTCTGGTAATAAAATGTTTTAAATGGTAAGAAAACTAATATGTTCCCAATCATAAATTACCTAAATATTCCACATAATTTTGTTGGATCGGCTTGGCTCATATTTGAAGTTAACTACGGTTAAATTAAATAGAATATTTCTAAATTATGATAATTTATTTTTGTTCGTATGCTAAGAATAACGGTCTGTGTCTTATAAAATGTATAAAAGTTCGAATTGAAATATTTACGTTTTTTGACCCCTTGTGATGAAAGACATTGTTCGACCCGAAAGCCGGAAGTTTTTTCAGCAAATGGTATTTTAAAAGAATCAAGACATGTACACTTTCATAAATATTGCTTCAAATGTTGCTGCGCTAGAGTGTGCTACGGATCCTTCATATTCGGAAGTCATACCATGGACTAAAGTCTTCAAACTTAATTTTCCATTTTCATAGAAACTGTATAGAATGCATGTTATAATATGAACCAAATAAAATAAAGAGCCTGATGATGATACAATAATTTCATAGGATGTCCAATCCTTACTAACATTTTCCCAATTACTGTATAAATATGGTGACATTTTTACTTTCACAGTATATAGTGACATGTTCAAATACAGAGTTACCTTGGTGACATGTTCACATTCAGAATTACCATGGTGACAAGATCGCATTCACAGTGTACACATGGTGACATGTTCACATTCAGAGTTACCATGGTGACATGTTCACATTCAGAATTACCATGGTGACAAGATCGCATTCACAGTGTACACATGGTGACATGTTCACATTCAGAGTTACCATGGTGACATGTTCACATTCAGAGTTACCATGGTAACAAGAGTTTATGCTATTAGTAACCAAAAGATGAACAGCATGGCTACATAGAGAAATACTTTAGAGAGGAACTGTTCTTCTGCTGCTTGGGGAGTCTCGGGTCCAGCTGAAAGCAAAACAATCAAATGCACAATTAATACAGGGTGTTCCAAAAGTAACAGGACTGGTGCTGGTATTTTGTTAAATATGCCCCAATCATCTTCAAAATTTTACATAATGTACTTTCATATATTGTAACTAAAACTGAAAAGGTTCGACAAAAATGATGAAACTCGGGTAGAGTTATGGTTGCTATGGTAACATGACATCACAATACCCGGGGCAACATTCCACGCAAAAAGTTTATGAGACTTAAAGCATTTTGTACTTCCCATATCAAAGTTAAAATCCAAAAACCGGTGGGAATTATATTTGCTAAATACATCATTTGATATTTCTATGTATCCTCTACTTTGAAAAGTAGGCTCCTTTTTTGTCAGCCCAAGAGTAGCACTCTGTATCCATGACTCAAACACATGAGTGAACCCATTTGAGGACATGTCACGCAGGGTCGATAGGACAACTTGGAGACGGCCATTCTCATCTTTAAAGGTCTTACCACGCTGATTAGTATTTCATTCTCCATATAAGTAAAAAGTATAAATTGCATGATCAGAAGAACATGGTGCATGGTCTTAAGCCTCTAGACCTAGCTCCTCTATAGCTGCATTGGTCTTATTAATGCTGAATTGTGGTCAGGCGCGTTACCAAGTTGGAAGACTGGCTTCAAATTGGGTATTTTCAATACTCAACCGTGAATTGTGCAGACTGTTATGTCTTAAGGAAATTGAATAAATATTATTATTATGAAATCATATTTGAATCTGAGTTGTATAGCAATACCATTACTACAAAGCAACTAATAAAACAACCAAGAAATGTTGTATTGTAATAGGTGAATTAGATACTTTCTTCAGTAATACAAAAATGTTAGATATAACATTTTCATGAAAACGTTGCCCCGGGTATTGTGATGTCATGTTACCATAGTAGCCATAACTCCACCCGCATTTTATCATTTCTTCTGAAACTTTACAATTCTAGTTGCACTACTTCAAAGTACAATTTGTAAAAATTTGAACAAACTCGGTGCAGTATTGACAAAATGCCAGCATCAGTCCTGTTACTTTTGGAACACCCTGTATATCTAACACACTAGTACTATATTGTGTATTATGATTTTGAGAATTATCAATGGTTCTGGAGGGATATTAATGAAAACACAGAATGTAATCCTGTACTAAGGTCTGATGTGAAAAAGTTGGTTAACCACAGTAATATATTGTCTGGATCATAACTAAGAAACAATATAAATGAATGTAATGCTAGGTTGAAACAAGGAATCAACATCTGACAAATGACCTGATTGTTTTCACATGGCGAGTAGGTCAATTTTGTTGTGGACAAGAATTGATTTTTTTATTTTAAACAGTCAGAGATGATGTATTTGGAAACGTGACTTACGAGCTGGTGGTCGGGTGTCCCCCATGTTAAAGTTTGAAGCAAAGAATCCAAATGGAAAAGCACCAATTCCGAAAGACATCTGAAAGCCACCATCTCCAAAGTTGAACCCAGGGAATGCCTAAAACAAATATTAATTGTTACATTTGAAAGCCACCATCTCCAAAGTTGAACCCAGGGAACGCCTAAAACAAATATAAATTGTTACATTTGAAAGTCACCATCTCCAAAGTTGAACCCAGGGAATGCCTAAAACAAATGTAAATTGTTACATTTGAAAGCCACCATCTCAAAAGTTGAACCAAGGGAATGCCTAAAACAAATGAAAATTGTTACATTTGAAAGCCACCATCTCCAAAGTTGAACCCAGGGAATGCCTAAAACAAATGTAAATTGTTACATTTGAAAGCCACCATCTCCAAAGTTGAACCCAGGGAATGCCTAAAACAAATGTAAATTGTTACATTTGAAAGCCACCATCTCCAAAGTTGAACCCAGGGAATGCCTAAAACAAATGTAAATTGTTACATTTGAAAGCCACCATCTCCAAAGTTGAACCCAGGGAATGCCTAAAACAAATGTAAATTGTTACATTTGAAAGCCACCATCTCCAAAGTTGAACCCAGGGAATGCCTAAAACAAATGTAAATTGTTACAGAAAGCCACCATCTCCAAAGTTGAACCCAGGGAATGCCTAAAACAAATGTAAATTGTTACATTTGAAAGCCACCATCTCCAAAGTTGAACCCAGGGAATGCCTAAAACAAAAGTAAATTGTTACATTTGAAAGCCACCATCTCCAAAGTTGAATCCAGGGAATGCCTAAAACAAATGAAAATTGTTACATTTGTAATATAAAGCTTGTTTTTGTATTAGGTTTGTTAACAAATTGATAAATTATTTGCAATAGCTTTGGAAAAGACCCTCGGTAATGGTTTATATAATATGAAAACAACACATGAAAATTCTAGAATCATAAACGAGACATACCACTCTTATTTTATCAAAAATTCAAAATGGCACTAGTCTGCTTTTGTACCTGTTATTTAAAAGTTGATCGGGTGAGATTTCCTGGAATAATGGTGTCAAGATTTGGGTGGCCTTACCAACCCAGGCAATATAGCACTTTGAAAAAGTATGATAGAAACTATAACAATGTGCTGTAATGTGAACTGCCACTCACCCCATTGTTTTCTGGCTCTGACCTTTGACCCTGAGGCCTTGGAGGAGCCTTGTCCCGAGGGTCTTCCCTAGATGTATTATTGCGGCCATATAGTGGAATAACTTTGTCTCGGCTAATACCCGCTTTGCATACTGGGCATGTCTGCCTGTTTGGACGCGTTTCAAGCCACTGATGAAGGCACGGCCAGCTAGGAATATTATATTAACATATTAATTCTGACATTTAAATATTAAATCTTTTACATATAATACTTATAATTTGACATTAAGCTTTCTTGTACATAAAATACTGGAATGTAATCAAGTGGAAAGGGCTAAATAATAGTCATGTAGCTCATGGTTCTGGTATACTGTCTATATCATGAAGCGGATAAAATCCTATATAAGGGACAACCACCAGCTAGAAGTATTAACCACTTGGGTTTGGCAAAACAAAGCTGTAATGTATAACAGTATACTAAATACTAAACTATCCTCTAGTCTGAAATTTTGGGGAAATTTGGAATGAAAATATTCAGACTATAGTCTACATATATTAAAATTGGGGATTGAAAAATATTTGTTTATATAGGAAGTGCCATTCAAAATGGCCCTTGGAGTAAATTAATTTGCATATTTGTTACTTACCCTGGCTTTATTTCCTAGCATTTAAGTGTGCTTACTACTTAATTGAATTGTTATAATGTTGTTTTTTTTAAGTCAAGCTTCCTAAAATTGATAATTTTGTGCAAAAGAAATTCTCTACAATTCCCACCGGACACATCATGATAAACCATGACATCTCAATCCTTCTCTGCCCTGAGATGCCATGATATAATAAGCTAGGTTTGGTAATCCAGGACAGCCCAAAATTGAGGATTTTTGAGTTCTTTCATCCCAGCTCATATTTCCTCTAATTGGGGTCATTAAACTTGTGTACCTGAGCTGGTGCTAATATCTGCTTTTAAATACAATGCCTATTATGTAATGTATCGACATTAAGGTAAATGATTACCAGCGCTTGCATTAGGTTAGAAAATTTGTGAGTCCCAAGGATACATTTCTTTTTAAAAAGTGTGTCCTTTGAAAAAAAAGTGTGTCCCTTATTTTTCAGGGTTTTTTTTCTTGCCGCGAATTTAAAACGGAAGTAAACGTTAAGTACGACTGAATAAATGCATGTTCCTTCATTCGACAATGAATACATTTTATTTCATGAATAACCTAATATTTGTTTCTGAATAGGAAAAACTGTTGCGTGTCATGGTTTCATATCTAAAAATAAACAAAGTCGAAAAAATTCGAGAATCATGATCATTTGTAAATATTCAACATGTTGAGCCTTATTTACGATTCAAATAAAGGTGAGAGATCATAATTATTTGTTTTTGTTAGGTATCGTTGTAAACACATTGTAGTATTGACCGCAGGGGTTTCAATAAATATTTTTTCAACAGGCCTTTTGGCAATTTCAACAGGCTGAATTTTTTTCGACCATTCGCCTCATGTGCTTTCTCACTGTGATGTTAAATGATAAAATCAGTATTTTCCTGTCACTTAATGCACATTGTATATGAGCAATTGATCTCAATAAAGCAGATCAATACATAATTGATTGTTAATTCATTTTTGACTTCTTAATTACTTGGTGTTTTTCAATGTTGCCCCTTGTTCCTCCTCACTCTGATGTAAATAATAACTCAATATTCCTTTCGGACACATTATTAATTTCAATGAAATATAAAGATCAACATTCAATAGTTTGATATGCATTTTTGACTTGTAATATTTCATTTGTTTTCAAATGTTGCCCTTTGTGCTTCCTTACTATGATGTGAGATAATGCCAAGAGGATCAATTGTATTGATTATAGTGTTTGTTTTATCCATTGAAAGTTGGCAGGACAGTGATAAAGGTTTTTTGCTACTGACCCATTAGTCTCAAAGCAATGATGTTTTGGTTTTGAGAGTAGGTCAATAAAAATGGTGGCCGTATTGTAAGATAATTATCTCAGTGTTTCTGTAAAACACTGCTGATTATCTGCCTATTATACAGTTGGGGACAAAAATAAATGACAGGTCGATTTTCATTCACCATTTCCTAATTATGGTGGTCTGAAAGCCCATAATTTCCAATATTGTCTAGATACATATCCCTTAAAATTTGTATATTTTACATTTTGTATAATCTCATCCACTGATTTATGGCCTCTTGTAAATTCTCTTATTTTTAACATGGGAAATCCTCACTTCAGCAAATCCACCTGTCATTTATTTATGTCCCCTACTGTACTTAGATTTTGCCTTCACAAGGTAGGCCAATTTATATTCTTTCATTTGATATGTCAAACTTAATTGATTTGTCTCATGTGTCAGCAAAATCTCTCATCATTTGGACCGGCAATTTTTTTCTCAATTTTTTTTTTTCAATATTTGAACCGGCGTAACTGGGGTTTGAAGCGATTTTGACCTAAAAAAAATTTGCGTCCAAAAAACGGAAATATTTTCAATTTTTGCGTCCTCCAAATTATTTTTGAGTCCTTAACATGTAAGGGACGCCGTTAATGCAAGCCCTGGATTACAGTAGAACCTGTATATCTGAACACCTGGCTAATCCGAACAGCTCCCAATCTGAACACTTTTTTGGTCCCACTCTTTCCTCCCATTGACTCCCATGTTTAAAAAAACTTGAAACATTTCAAATTTCCCAAAAATTTCAGACTAGAGGTCAAGGAGTCTAGCTCACGAATGGAGGTAGAATGTTGAAGGTCAAAGGGTTTTTAGAGCATTCCCTTTTTTAGTCAGTCTGCCGGATACTGGCTAACAAAATACTGGAAAGTGAGAGTCATACACATTATCAAAATCATATTTTTTAGATTTGATTGGCGGCAGTGTTTTCAGTAGGCTTGTCCAAGATTGTGTCCCTGAGACGTAATGATTTTCAAAAAATGCGTCTCCCCTCAAAAAACTGTGTCCCTTGAAAAAATGTTCCCGGGAATTCAAAGTCAAGTTTTTACACTGGACGAATTAAATTGATAAAATTTTGTATCGCTTTTGCTACTTATCGGTCTAAACCAGAGTCTAGTGTGTCATTGAATGATACAGATACCATCACTTGTGATGTATAACTTATATTCACCCATTAAAAACACATTTTCTTTGCAAATCGCACTTGACCAATTGAAAATGGTTTGAATCAGGTCTTCAGCTACCGGCCAATCGTAGGACTCGTACTGATTACTGCTTGGAAATCGAGAATTGGATAACTTTTTGTCCTTATCACATGCCTCGTACTATTTCGATCAGAAATCAACTTTAGGGAAGGAAACTTCGAAAGAAAATTTTATTTCTTTTAGAAATAGAATTTCCTTCAATAATTCAGTGGATTCTGACCAAATAGAGACTGAAGGTAAGATCTTTATCAAATCATTCATCCAAAGTTGATTGTATGCATATGGCTCAGGGGGGGATCTGGGAACCAACAAGGGGGGGGCCCAAATTTCAGGTCAGAGAAAAAACGTCAGCGCTTGCGTGGGAAAAAATTTTGGGCCCCTGAAACGCAAAAGTGGGCCCAAATTTTGAAATTTTGAGGCCCATTTTCTTCAAAATTTGGCCTGAATTTAAAAAATAAGGCCTCAAAAGGCCCAGTAATGAGTAATTGCCGACTTTTTGGGGCCTTAAGGCCTTTTTTGGCCCAAAAATTTTTTTGGGCCCAATTTTTTTTTCTGGGCCCACCCAAGGGGGGGGTGGGCCCGGGCCCCCAGGCCCCCCCCCTAATCCGCCAGTGTGGCTTGCACTGCGTCCAAAAAACGCAATTCATTTTTATTTCCGGGTCAAAGGGATATATTTTGCATGTATGTAATGTAAGGACCGCATTATTGAAAACATAGATTGGTGGAGAGAAAGAGTGAAACGGATGTGAGCTGATATTCCAAAGACGGGTATTCTATGGTTCGAGATAAAATCTTACCAGAATAAATGTCCACACATACTGACAACTGCATCTTTTGCTGTATCTAGACATATATTGCACTCGTATTCCCCTGAGTCTTGGTGGGCATCTTCACTGGAACCTGAAGCTCCACCCTCTGCCCCTGTTGATTGATTAGATGCCGTGGCACTCATTGTTTGTTTTTACATCAGAGTGTGGACTAAAATCTGGGTTTTCTTAGTCTGCTGCTTCCGAATCCGAATCAGTGTTTAGAAAAACAAGAAAGTCAATATTTCAAGCGAAAGTTTTTCAGCGGAATTCCACTCTATTTCTTCGAATAAATTCTGTTCCAATGTTTAAAGATATGGCTCATTATAAATTAGCTGGTATAATTGTCACTAAAACGCCTAAATATATCCTTATACAACTAAATATAGATAAACAAAATGTTTTTTTTTCAAACCGGATATATGATGTTGCACACGCATGCGCATACATTTACTCTTCACGCATAATATACGAACGATTGAATGAATAAACGTTCGTAATTTTCTGAAGTGAATTTCACCGATCAAGGAGGATTGGGCTCCCAGAATGCAAAATCGATATTCTGCCCCATATATTTACAACTGGCATGTTTCAAGGTCCCCATACCATATATGGGACCAAGGACGTCTATCTCGAGACTCTAATGAGTTTTGGAGAAAACTTTGTTTAGTATATTTTCACCTGAAGGCCCCATTGCAGATCCAAATACCCCATGAAAAAAATATTAAATATTTCAACTCAGAATGTACTGGTTTAATCATTACTTGTATGTGTACACTAGTATCTTTTTGACCTAGTAACATTCAAAATCAGCACTGAAGTGCCGGGGGCACTTCATTAGGTCAATATCAATTTGCATGGCTCAAGCATCACTCCGTCCTATCCAAATATGTCAGTATCAATCAATAATAGTATAATCTTTGGATTTACTTGGTTTGTATGACATTTGTGTAAACGTATGACAACATAAAAGTTTGAAACATTTTTCTATGCACTGACACAGTATTGTAGCCATTTTGTAGGGAAAAGATATGAAAATATAGTTGTGTCAAATTGTGAAATTATTTAGTTTGAGGTCATTTCGCATCCTTCTTCAAAGGACTTCATTTATGCTTAAAAGTAATACTATATATACTTGTAAAATACCATTGCAGCAAGGATGGTCTATTTCGGGTCATAGGTGTATTTTCAGTATTTTGTGATAATCAATGGATTAGAAACCGTTAATGGGCCGTATTAGGATATGATGATATGCCTGGCATGTAATGTTAAGCATGTTAAGTCAACGATGTTAAGTCAATGCACCCTTGCTGAACTTAATGACCCCAGTCTATCGTGTCCACTTAAATATTTTCCAAAGTATTATTAACATTGTCACTCTTCATTTTACATCTTATACATTTCATTTTGACCATGGGGGTATTTGCCACATATCACACCCCTCCTCGTTTCGGTAACAAAATGTCGGAACGTCGAGGGTACGATTTTACCGTTTTCGTAACTAAGTGAGGAATTAAATCGACGATTCCACTGTCTTCTGAACTATTTATTCGCAAATGTGTACCTTTTATAAAATCATATGATACTGATACACGCAGAGGGGAGAAATACCAGGGTATACAAGTCACTAGTACGGCCAAACCTAGAATATACATGGGATCGATCCTTACCGCCAGCAGGATATCAACATGCTGGAACAGGTACAAAGGAGGCAGCCAGATTTGTTACCAATGTCACTCTAGGGAACCAGGCTGTGTCACCCAAGCTCTCCAACACCTGCAGTGGGAATCACTACAATCCCGTCGGGAGACTTCTAGACTTTCCCTTTTCTCAGGCAAAGGAACTCACAACTTAGCAGCCATCACTATACACTCTATACCTACATACTTCAGCCCTCAAATAAACACTAACACTAGAGGGGGGGGTGTATAGAGATATTGTATATCGTATAAGAGGCTGAAAATTTATTGTATATTGTATAAGAGGGGGCAAAATTTATCGTATATGGTATAAGAGGTGTAAAAAATATGGTATATGGTATTTTAGAAAATATGGTATATGGTATCTAGAATTAAAGAAGGCTAATTATGAAGAAATCGTACCCTAAAGTTCCCCCATTGTGCCAACTCTCTTACTGTAACCGTGTTGGAAAAACATGGAAAAGTAGTCTCTATAATTGTTTTCAAATTCCAGGTCAATCGATACTGTTAGTTTAGAGAAAATCCCTCTCAAACTAAGAGTTTTGTGCCCTTTTCATTCAAATTTTCACAGGAGGTGTTAAATACAGTCTCAAATAAGAATCACGCCCGGTGATCAGAAGAAATGAACGGAGGGGGGAGTAGATCTAGCTGATTTTCGGTAGAAAATTCAACAAATCTTGAAGATTTATTTTTTCAAGAGAAAGTTTACAATTGAATGGCTAAATGAATAGACGCAGTGGACGGGGGAATATGTTAGGTCTTTTTGGATTTTTTTTAACTGTGGAGTTCTAAAATAAAAGATCTATTAAAAAAGTGCAGCGTTGCCAACATGCAAATGCCAATGTTTTTGCTGTAAATCAACCAACAGGGGTCTCCACGACCTGTAATAAATACTTGTAGGTGAAGTAATTATCACAAAACTATTGGGTTTTGTAAAACATGTTACCATACGTTATATAAAAAGTAATCGAAAATTATTAAAATTGAATGGAGGGGGGGGGAGTAATTTCTCTATAAGACATATGAAAACTTCCAATAAATCCATATGTCCCCATTTTTCACTTTTCAGAGTTGTAACATCAAGTAACTGAGTAAGTGAGTTCATTTTTCAAGTACACGAATTTGTGGAAATTTCTTCCACCTTAAAGACATTTTACTCCCCCCCCTCCGTTCACTCCCCCTCCCCCTCCGTTCAATTTTAATTATTTTCGATTATTTTTTATCTATCATTTGGAAAATTATTTAAAAAAACCGGCAATGAATTTTGTGATATAAAAATGTCGCTTATATATTTATTACATGTCGTGCAGACCATTGTTGCTTGATTTATAGCAAAAACATTGGCATTTGCACGTTGGCGACGCTGCGCCTTTTTTAATAGACCTTTTATCTTAGAACTCCATCAGTTCAAAAAAAATCCAAGAAGACCTAACATATTTCCCTGTGCACTGCACCTATTCATGTAGCCATTCAATTGTAAACTTTTGCTTGAAAAATAAATCTTCAACATTTGTTGAATTTACCGAAAATCAGCTACTCCCCCTCCGTTCATTTAATCAGATCACCGGGCGTGAGACTGCCAAATGTTATTGACCATCTTAACTTTGATGAAAAATATGGTCACTATGGCTACTCGTGTTTCGGGGTATGTGGGATAAATCATGAAAATATTTGAGTATAAAGTGTTCATACAGCGCATGTTTAAATACAAGCATCACAATGCTTATATAGCATAATATAGCAAAAGGTGTTTATTTGGTCTTCAAACCGTCATGTGTTGGATTTCGGCTATTTATTGGGGATTTGAACAGGTGCATATGTTAGGCCAATGCATTAACTCCAGATCAAGCACTCATAGAGGTAATAAAATAATTTGAACTTTGAGACAGGGAAGGTTTTTCTGAAATGTTGTCCTTATTTTCAGCCCTTTCCACATATGTTTTTTCAATGTTTGATGCACCAATATGTTGCACTTTGAGACACAGTTAACCTCTAAAATATGAGTTATTTGGGATAAAGTGAAAAACAGTACATGTATTTCCCATGTTATTTTCCCATAGGGAAAACTCATGTGATCCATTGTTTTCAGCTTAATTTTGATCATCCAAAATTTATATCTTTAAAACCCCTGCATGAATCATATTTTCATTTAAAGATCTTAACCATGTCTCAAAACGCAAAAGAGTGATCGATGCAACAAACATTGAAAAACAGGTGTGGAAAGGGCTGGAAATCAGGACAACATTACAGAAAAACATGTTAATGGGGTGTTTGCACCTTCCCTGTCTTAAAGTCCAAATTATTTTATAATCTCTATGACTGCTTGTCCTGGAGTTAATGCATTGGCCTAACATATGCACCTGCAGGCCTGTCAACTGTCCCGCAATTTGCGTATTTGTCACGCATTTGCTGAAGAATTTGAAGTCACGCCAGTTTTTTTTGCGTGACAGAAAATGTCACGCAAAATACGCATTTTACCTGGTAATTGTCAAGCAAAAATATTTCTGTAGAAATTTTTTCGAAATATGTTTACGATACGGTAAAAATACGCACGCCGGAAAAAACCGAACGCAATTTGTTCGGATTTGTCACGCGAATCCCGTATGTGTCACGCATGTTCATTGGAAATTTTTCGTACCTACCCCCCCCCCCCCCCCCCCCCCGTTGACGATATCGCGAGCGAAGCGAGCGCGAAAAATTTGAGGTGTTCAAAGTTTGGCAAAGGTGCACAAACTTTGGCCAAAGGTGTTTAAAAGTTGGCCAAAGGTGTTCAAAATTTGGACAAAAGTGTTCAGATTTGGACTTAGGTGTCCAACATTTTGAAGTCACTCATATTAGGTGGTCCCAAGTTGACAGCCCTGCACCTGTTCAAATCCTCAGAAAATAGCCAAAATCCAATATATGACTGAAATCTGTTGCGATACCGTCCGTGGTCCTTTAAAAGAAAGTTATTTCTAGTTACATAGAGTAGTTTTCATTCTCATCAATACATCTTTGCCTTGAAATCATTTGTGAAACATGTGGTTTGACCTTCATGGAAATTTGCTTAATTTTGACACACCTTTGTTTAACTTATACTGTCTTTGAGGCTGCCTTATCTGAAACCCCGAAGTGTCTCATGTTTCAAATGTTTAAACAATCAAGTCTCATCTTACCTTTATTTCAAACTCTAGTTTCCAGACTCGAGTCCAATCAAAAATGAATTATCTACATGGAAGTTTGTGAAGTCCTTTATTTCTGAAACTGTTTTAAATTTCCAGGTAACTGCTTTACAAAATTATTGTGCATTGTGAATCTTCATTATCTCCCAGCCTTTCAGTAGGTTCGCTTTAGGTGATATATTTAACTAGGATTTCTAGGTTCGCTTTACAGTACTGTCAACCCCCAAAGATTTTCTCGCGGGACAGATTTTTTAGACCCAGTGCCCAAAATTCGCGGGATTTTGCGGGACATCTACTAAATTCGCGGGATTTCGCGGGACATTTAAGGGATTTGCGTGATTGCGCTTATAGGCCAATTTTTTTTATCAAATTCGCGGGATTTCGCGGGACCATTCGAGGGACAAACACCCTAATTGCGGGACAGTTAACAGGTTTACCAGCAAAAAC